TTTATGTATAATTGATTATATGTATATAGTGATGAAGCATTAGATTTGATACTAACTATGAGCCTACTGTTTTTGAGATAGAAAGGGGTAGTAGACATTTTATTTTTTGTGCAAAAAATGTCTATTAGAATGACATATATTAGAATTGAAATCTTTGAAAATGTTGTTCATCAACAAGAATCAACTTAGTGTATTCTTTTCCGTCATATTTTTGAACTGTTCTTATTTGGAGTTGATGGATTTGATTAGAATTCAAATTAGAATTAGAGTTGCTATCAAAGTTCGATGTCTTGAATCTGCTGCTTCATCAACCGCCGTTACAAAGATTAAGTTTGAGCTTGTTGCAAGTTTTGAATTGCGTCAAACTACTTCAACGTCTTCAAACCTTCGGAAATTTGCAAGCTATCCTCACTGCAACTGATTAACCTATCTTCTAACGTGTTTATCGATATATTATTTCAAAACCTTTCAAGATTAATAACATACAAGCATCTTCATTCGGATTTTTTTTTTACACAATATCATTTAGAAAAGGAAAAAATACTTTACAATAGATATACTTGCTAGAGGCAATGAACTCGTTGGATATTTTTGGCAATCAACTTACTGGAGAAATACGCACAGAGTTTGATACATTGCACGATCTTAGATACTTGTTCATGGCCTATGACATTCAAGCTAAATCTCTCTAAAGTTTATCTGAAATGGCTTTGTGGAAGTTCATCATGGTTCTAGAAAGTAAAGATTTTAACTTGTCTCTGTTCCATACATACTCTCACACAAACTCTTCACTCATCATTCAATTGAAAACACTTATAGATACTCCAAAAGAGATGGTGTAACTCAACTTATTGATGAAATAAGTCTTCACACAATGAAATCTTCTAACTTGCATGAGATTCTCTTCTCTACCTCTCTATATTTATTACTTGAAAAATTACCATAGTATCACATGGTAATTACCTCATAATTAGGGCTTTTACTAGGATAGACCATGGTAAGTTTCACTACTTTTCAATACATGACAACATGTCATTGGCCTCAAGAGTCTTCTTATAAGCTTTTTAATCCATAGGCTGAGATAGAAACATGCCATCTAAGACTTTCAAAATTATAAAAATTCCACTTGCCACTAGGTCAATTTTAGATTTAGTTTAACAAATGGAATTTAGTTTACCTAGTCAAACCAATCCAAGCTAGTCACATAGTCAAAATTATTTTATCTTAGAATCTAGACTTTTGTAAAAAAAAATTAGCAATGTTCATTTCAATCTTCTAAAAGTATTCAAATTATTTTGTCAAGTATAAATACTATATCTAAATTTATTCATAACAAATGAAGTTATTTATAACTAGCTAAATGCAGTTATACCTACTTCTAACACTACTTCACTATTACAAAAGTTAATTTTACAAACATATCACCTTCAAACTAATGGACAAACAAAAAGAGTCAAAGGGAATTGTAAAGTATATGCTAATATTATTCACATTAGAAAAGAAATAAGAGTGGGAAACACTTTTGACTTTTGTGAAGTTTGCATATAACAATTTTGTTAATGCATTCATAAAAGTGTCTTCATTTTAACTCATGGTGCTCATCATATAATTCCTTCAAGTTTGATGCGAGTTTTGAAAGAAAAGTAGTTTTGACCAAAGTTGCAACAATCAACGAGTTTGTGTAGCATATTCACAAAGGATTACATTGGGTAAGGAGAAGTTGCCGATAGCTCAAAATTGGCTAAAATAACATGCAGATGTTCATTATAGAGATTTGATTATCTACATGTTTGGTTATCTACAACAATTTTTTCTTTTGTAGCAACACCAAAGTCTAATGCTAGGTTCATTGTTCCATTTTTGGTTTTGAAACGTGTTGGTGAAGTGTCATACAAGTTAGAGTTTTGTGTCACATGTGAACATACATCCGATATTTCATATGTCACGATTGCAAAAATATATATCACAAACAAAACAATTCACCAACCAACCAACATCAACTCCTCTTCAAACCTTGATATTTGTTCATAAGTAATTTGAGGTAAAAAATATACTCAAAAAAATTATTTGAGGTTATAAATATTCCAAAGTAGAGTATTTGATTCAATGGAAGGTCTATGCATCATTTGAATCATTTTGAAAACTAATTAAAAAATTTAGCAAATGCACCTTTGATAGTTAAGGAGTTTGAATGTATGTGCAACAAGGACGTTGCATTTTAAAAGGAATGAGATTTGTAATCATGTTTCCTTAGTTAGAACTAAAATAGAGATTTAACTTAAAAACTAGATAAAATTAATTATACCTAAACAAACTATGATCAACTTCTTGGTTAAATGTAATACTACTTCACATATATAACAAGTTTTGTAGATTATATGAATGTTTTCACAACTATTCTCTATGTACTATTATGTGAGGTGATATTCATGCGATAATCACAATGTTTTCTCATGATATGGAGGTTGCTTAAATTGTTATACGGTTTAAAAAAAAATCTCAAATTGTGAAAAAAATGCTTCAACGACTTCATTCATTCACAAGAGCTTTACAAAATGTATATGATCCTTGTATTTACTTGAAAAAGATTTCAGATGTGGCTTTTGGACTTATCATTCTTGTCTTGTATGTTGAATACATGTTTATTTTAGCTCAACATTCAACATGAAAAATCTAGTTACAGTGAAGAAGATTCTTGTCATGGAGATATTTCAAAATAAGAAGGCAGGGAAGCTTTGGTTATCTCAACAAAAGTATGCAAAGAAGTTGCTTGTCAAGTTCAACATGATTGAAGCTAAAAATATGAATACTTAATTGGCTGTTCATTTTTTATTTTCAGAAACATCTTAGTGATATGGTTGAGAAAAACTTGAGATATCATATTCTCTATGATAATGCAATGGGTAGTCTAATATATTTGATGGTATGTACACGATCGGATATAGCAGTTGCTGTAGGTAAGATGCACAAGTACATGTCAAATTCAAACAAGATGCATTGGAAAGTATATACTAGGGTATCTTAAGGGTTTCACATGACATGACATATTGTTTGATGACATAGCAATGAATGCCAAGTCAATTTTGGAGTATGTGGAGACTGATCATGATGAAGATTTGGACAAGAGAAAATCAATGACTGTGTATGTTTTTTTTCTTACATATGGTTGCATTAGTTGAAGACCTACTCTTTAAAAGTGCATTTGTTGTCATACACAAAAGTTGAATATGTTGTATCAGCAGAAGCAACAAAGGATTAAATTGGGTGAACAAGCTTATCATTAAAATGAGATTGTTGTAATAGGACATCAATTTTCATTGTGATAGTTAGAGTGCACTTCATCTTGTTGAGAATCAGGAGACGGATAGTAGGATGAAACACATTGTTTTAGGTACTATTTTATGAGTCAAACTGTGTATGAAAAAGCGTTAAAGCTCATCAAGATTAATAGAGAACTTAATTCAGCAGATGATTTTATCAAAATGATTTCTTCTAATAAATCTGCAAGACACCCGTGCATCTTTGTAGATTTTGTATATTTGAGTTATATTACTTGATAGTTTCTATGTTTGTAATTTTTCTCTTACATGTTGATATTTACTCTCTAGTTCTAGTTAAAGAAGTAAAAGCTATGATTAAGTTTTAACTTCTAGAAGTTTTTGCTGAAACCATGTGTGGATTAAAAAAACCACCTCCTTCAAAACTTGGGTTAAGGGGAAATTTGAAAGATCAATATGCGTCTTGTTAATTGTAGCTAGAATTGACTTCTATTTAGGGTTTGAATTAGGGTTTGTTTGGGCTAGTTAAGATTCGTTCGGGTTAGTATTCAATTTGGACTCGTAATTTAGATACTTAAATCTACCAATGAACATTTTTCAATTCAATTTCACATTTACATTTGAAAAAGAGATAGGTAGTCGAGAGCTTGGTTACGGAGTACTGCTGTAATATTTTTATTTTAGTTTAATTTCTATTTTGGTCGTGGACATAGCTTCATATGGAGGTGAAGCACATGCATCAATGTGTGATTCTCGTTGCTATATAACTATAGTTATTCTAAAAAACAACTTATCTCAAAATCATTTATATATATATACAATTATTATTGTATTGCTAAAACCATAGACACTCAAGTTATAGTTTAAAGTAAAATCAATTTCGTATTTGTCACTATTCAACAACACTTCTTTTCTATTTTGACCATATTCAAAGATTGAAGTAATGAAAAAATTTAGCAAATAGTTGTACTCTTCATTTATTGATAAATTATTTCATTAGTAAACTTATAATATAATGGATTTCTTATTATTATATTATTTGGAAACTTCCATCGATAGTTTTGAGAATTAGTACAAATGTAAAAATGAAAACCAGATTTGAGTACAAAGCATAATTTTTGGTTGCAATGCGACCATCAATATGCCCACCATCAGTGCACAAGGTGATGCTCCGTAGCGACCATGACATTAGACAGTAGATACAGTACAAGCCGGTACCTGCTTCGCTACATTTCGGATGGTGCAAATCGATCCGTGGGTCGGCTTCTCGACACAAGTGGAAATCACGAGCTCGCATTCAGTCGAGACAGAGGTTAGTCTTTACAAGGGCACCGCCCCTTGGCACCCCCGTCCGGTCCGTCTGTCCACACAATCCACTTCCTGTGGCACGGACAGGGCACCTAAGGCCCGAAGCATGCGCCTCGCCAAAAGGCGTGCGGGAAAAGGAAAAGGAAAGGAAAGGGAAATGAAAAGAAAAGCCAGCAGAGAAGAGAAGCGCTCCTTTCTGTCGCCGTCGCCGTCGACTCGGACGTGCCATCAATGGCTCGTCGACAGAAGGACGTCGGAGGAAGGAAGAAGAGGAAGGGAATGGAAAGGAATGGAAAGGGCGGAGAAAAACGATAAACAAAAGGGGGGACCGGCGGATCCCTAAAGCTTAGACCGGGGACATTCTAAATCCGGGGGAGGACGTGGGTGGGCTAAGTGTAGCGGAGGAGGTTATCGCGTCGAGCCAGAGCGGGCTTAATATGGCGAGGTTGGCGACGTTCGAGCCTTTTGATTGCTCGTCGACAAACAAACAGCAGCGCTTCTACAGTCGGTCCTAGAGCAAGGATAATTCGCATGGCGGGGCGAGGGCGGCCTTCCGATTGCTGCTGCTGCTGCTGCTCGTGCTCGTCGTCGTAGTGGCCGGCACCGAACGAGCGAGGCTCCAATCGCCGGGAAGATTTGGGGCTTTCTCTTCTCTCGTGGGTTCGTCGCAGTCGGTGCGCGTCGAGGTGTTGCGGACGAGGGGAGCGTTGGGCGTGCGAGGGCTGGCCGGCCGGTGCTCACGGAGCCATGACGACTCTGCTGCATGTCGCGTGCTTCAACGATCTGAAGTGAGAGGTCTTCTTGCTGGAGGGAGGATCTTGGTCCAGGGCAATTGGGGTCCTCGAGCGCGGCTTTTGGTTGTGCATCAATGGGGGCTGAGTGGGGAAATTGGAGGTCTCTGGGGTGTGGTTGGTTGATTTACCTGTAGGGTTGATGCGGCCGATTCCGCTAGCTTTGAGTTGACTTTTTTCCAGCAGCCTTAGAATTCAAGACTGGATTGGTTCTACCGTCCTAGGAATGGATGAAACAGAAATTTCCATTTTTATGTTGTGAGGGGCTTTTTGCAATTTTAATGCAACCTGAAAGTCATGTTTGGAAGGAGTGAGCTTTGTCGCGCTCTCTTGTTTCTCTTACACATTATGGTGTATCATTGTAGTCGTCTAACTTCATTGCATGATGCCATCGCTCCTTTACTTCAATTCTTGTTCCATTTGCTTATGTTGAAGAATTTTAAAAATCAAATTTTACTAAAAACTCACGGAGCTTGTGTTTTTCACGATCAATTCAGAGCATGGGCGAAGAAGCATCGAAGGTCGTTGTTGGTGGCAGCTGGTGTAGCTGGAGCTGGGGTAGGAACTTACTATTTTGTTAGCTCGATGAAAGCCAGAGCAAAAGCTCGCGAAGAAAGGGACGAAAGACAATCTGCCATTCTTCGGAAAGAAGCCGAAGATCGAGCCGAGGCCCAGTATGCTCATGTTTCAAATCCTTCTGGAGCTCTGTCCGATTTTCATAGATGTATGCTGTTGCCCTGAATCTTTTGAATGTAAAATTGCTGTGTTCCGATTGGTTTGATCAAGTACAACAAACCTTGAAACTTTTGCCATGCCATCCTTGCCTTCTCTTGAGGAAAGGTTGGCTATGAATTGAGAGCAAATGTTTCTGTTGCCATCACACACCAGTGTCAAGAGCGGGTTCGGTCCTCACCTGTAGTTCTGGCTCCCAAGTCAATCTCTTGCCTCTTGTCGGTCTGGATGTGCTGGTTTGATTCACCTGAGTACTGTTTTCTCGTTGCATGGACTTCATTGAGTTTGGGTTTTCCAAGTTGAGGAACCTGGAAACAGGATACTTGGCAATCCCAGAACACTGTACCATCTGCCTTGTTCAATCAGTATACCTAGTTGTGCTTTTGTTTCCATATGTGAAGAAGCTCCATCTAAAGCTGCTATTTGCAACGTGGAATGGCAGGTTGCAGAGTCATTTCGAGAGCATTCAGAGAATATCAGACTCTACTACACTTCCTTCAGTTTTACCACATTTGAAGGCGCGATTATTTGAGCTGGTGAATCTGTCAGGTTTGACAGAAAAACTTATGACTGGGAAAGAGGACCCTCAAGCTCTTAGTTCGAAAGAGAAGCTGCAGCTTTGGCAAGAACTGAAAGTTCTGAGTAAGCATGACCTTCCTCAAATACTTTGATCTGCGTTGTGGAAAATGGCCTTAATTTGCCAAGAGCAATATTGTTTTGTCTAGCAATATTAGAGCCCACCCAACGGAAAAGTCAGCTATTAGATGATGCTACATTTGTACCATATACGTCCATACTTCTATCTTTTCACAGCTTCACAGCTCCTTCATGGATGGAGAAGTGTGTTTGTTATGGGTTTGCTTGAAAGGTAAGCAGATACAAAGCAACTAATAATTACAGCTGAAGAATATATGTTGCAAATGGACATTCGTCATATAATTCAGGACTTACCCGAAGTTATGGCGATGTAGTAAGGCATCACGGACCTTTGCGTTCGACATCTAATTGGCTCATTCTAGCTTAGAACCATGCTAAGTGCTTGCAGGTCATTTGTCTTGATAAAGATTCAGTCGATTGTGCATGTGGATATTTGCGTAAAATTGATACAAACAGTCTTGAATTTTGTCTTCTATTTTGGCATTCACTTCTTTCCATTAGATGGTTCCACCAGGGAACAGCAGACGTGCACCATGAACTTAATTAAGTCTACAAGTCAAATGTTCTGAAACTCTTCGTCGAGCATGGATGATCTTCGCTTGTTATATTTTACATTCTGTTACCTTTTCTTATCAAATAGACTGTGAAGGAGTTTTCATCAGCAGCAGTAAGCTTTAGATTGCAATCTGATGATCGTCGTGTTCTGCATACTGCAGGCTTTACACGCACTTTATGTGCAATGTGGTCAGTTACTTTGCTTGATCTGTTCATTCGAACACAACTTAATATCCTAGGGAGGCATGTGTACATCGACACAGCTCGAGACATGTCAGTAGCCAAAGCAGGGGTATGTATTAGCTCCTATCGATCAACCACTTTGTCTTTAACGTCGGTTCTATGTACCATACTAAGGTGATGCGCATTGTTATCACAGGAGCTGTATAAACCGCTGTCAATGAGCTGTCAGCACAAATTCATTGCTTTTGCTGATTACTTACCGCACAAGGGTGTTGATGGACTTATTAGAGATGTACATACATCTGTTGAGAGCGTCATGAAAAGGTCAGAACAGGGGTACCTCTCCTTTTGTCTATATAACTTGGGCTCTGATGCGCTATGCCCGTTGCATAACAGAGGTTGGCGGATCTGTGTGTCCTGTGATTTTCCTCTCATGAAGATGGGTATGCCTCCTTTAGTCATCAAACTTTATATGTTGTTAGTTATCGAGACCCTGTGGGTTTTTGAGTTTCGCGGATCACAAATCATAACAGGAGATTGTCTCTGTAACATTTGTCCTGCCTGCAGCAAGTCTCTGAAGGAAGCATACCGAATCTCCCATTTGCGGGACCTTTTTCTCCAAATACAGCAAAGTTTCCAGGAAAATCAAGAAAGATGGGTTCAATATGTTCTTCCAGAAGATAATATATTGCCAGATGATCTGGCAGCTGCATCGTCAGCTGCTGATGCAGCTCGGTTGTCCATGTCAGAACCATCGGCTGCTGACGATGCAGAGAAGCTGGAGCAACTGATGTTTGAAACGAGGAATGTGCTTACCAGGTGAGATCTCTGTTAGTGGAAGTAGACATCTTTTTTCGGGAACTCGAAGCAGATTAATTGTTTACTAAATCCCTGACAACCTTGGATCTCGCAGCAATGAATTTGCAGATGTGCTTGGAGCATCTCTTGATGCAGTTTTGGAGGCCGTTCTTGAGGATCTCTCAGAGATTTACAGGGGAAACTTAGATACTGGTATTCCACTGGCGAAACTCTTACCCCCTGTTGCTAGCACTGGAAGTACCCTGTTGGAACATCCGGATGAAAATCGGTATATTCAGATTCTTGCACAGCTACCGCAGGTACAATCGTTCTGTGCCCTGGTATACAGCAGTAGTACTGGGGAAGATCTGGGATAGCACTTTCTGTTAGACGATACATTTCATCCCTTTGGGCCATGGCTGGTGTTGTTGATCTGTACATTACTAATTTTTTGAGAGTGGCTGTAGGGACACAAACTTTTCGGTAGAACTCTAGGTTTTACAACTTGCATCCTTATCCTGCTTGTAATGGGGTTTAGTCTTAGCACTTGGCATACCAAGGGGTATCGCTCCTCCATCTTAGGTTAGCCCTTAATTCAAGTTTGATCAGCTACCCGAGAAGTATTATACATGTCAATCATAGACTGTCCCTTGAATCAACCAATAACAGCAGGAGAAATTTCGTACGATAACAACTTGAAGAATGAGAATAATCCTCAAGTTGATTTCATTTTTCTAGTTTGTAACATGCTCAGTAGATGATAAATTTCTCTCTGTGGTAGCTTAGCATACCCGATTTCGAGTTAGAACTGTCCATTGTTGATATCGGTCATTCACTATGTGAGTAGCATTTTCACAGTTTCTCAGGTGGCACGACGCAATCAAAGTAGCAAACTCTATAGGATGCTTGTAAAATCTGTCAATTTTAAATGATATAGAAGATGATCGTCTTCTTCACTTTGTCTGAAGCTGCTAGAGCTCAAATGGTCTTTCCCAATTTTAGAGATGGACTGGCATGAATACCAGCATAAATACATTCAATTCACTCTTCAAGACCTGTCAGGCATAAGATGGGGTAGTATTTCGTCATGGAGCCTATCGTAAGCTGAATGTCATATGACGGGGCTTATCTCCAGTATGTGATCAATCAGATGTGTACTCACTGCTAAACTACATTTTTTTTTGGTTCATTGAGTGCCGAAACTCTGTGAACATTATCTGATTTATTTTACAGATTTTGGATCTTTATTTCTCGTCCCTCGTAGTTACCTTCTGGAACCTCCTGGTTTGTTGTCAATAGTCGGTGTAGATGTCTGCTAGATAAGCCTAGTCCGAATGCGCGGGCTTAGTTAGACGTATAGTTTCATAGTCTCATAGTCTTAGCTAGACGTAGAGTCTTATCTGCTTCTTCTAGAACTTTGTCCTGAAAAGCATATTTTTTGTAATGATGCCATTTTAGAGCATTTGGTTGTTTCCGTATACGGGGTATGTGGCGAGAGGAGCTAAAAGTCTCGATTATCTCAATTTCATCAGTTCTTCGACCACTGAGTGTCTTTGCCACCGAGCAATTTTTTTTACAATCGGCCGTCCCTTGGGCAAAGCCCCATGCGATCATTTGAAGTTCATTTTGAGTGTTTCGATTTCGGTTTCTGAGACTAATACGATGATTTCCTAGTTATATAAAGTATCTGTCAGGTGGAACGACCTTTTGCGAGTGCACCTCTTGGGAGTTCCATGTATGGATGCTTGCCAATTTGGAAATTGTTACGTCGAAGAAGTCTGCAAGTGCACACAAAGGAATGTGCTTCTTCACGTGATGCGCTGACATGAAACATGCTCTAGGCCGGTGGCCTCAGGGCACCTCACCGCTTCCTCCGAGTCGAATTTAGATGTACTTCTGAAGATGAAGCAGTTTTAAACCTAATTTGACTTGGTATAGCCTGTAATTGTCCCGGCCAGGCATACACTTTGTTTTCAGACTGCAGAATTTACATTCGTTAACTAGTTCAATCGCTAGTCTTATGGTAAAAGCGATGCTATTAGATAGAGTCTTTATTCCTGCGAACGAGGCCCACCGGTTCGTTTCTAGTTGTACTCTCAACCTACCCTTTGCTGTAAGCTATTCGCATGGTGAACAGGCGGATGAATTCCAGTAGCATTGATTCGTCATCGCCCGTATTATTATTGCTAAGCCATTTCCCATCCCCGACTTCTAACGTAGACGGGAACATGTCACCATCTGTGTGACATCTCGGACTAAGTAGTCAGGCCCGATGTTCGACGCAAAGACGATGCCCCATTGCTGATGAGCTCATCCAGAGCGCTACACGAGCAATATGAAGATATGAAGATCACCTTGAAAGGAAAGACGCAGTCCAATTCTGAGGACCATCCATCCGAAGACGTCAAGTGAGTTGGGAGCATGGACCAAGACCAAGACGTCTCAGTCTTGATCAATCGCCGACGTAGTGCCACCGCCAGATAAAGGACCCAGGCCTCATTCTCCCAGATCGATGTGCCCATATCATCCTTGTTGACCTTGCCCACGAGAATCCATTCCCCTCCATCGAGCTCGAGATAAATTTCTTCACCAAATCCTTTCTCCGAACAGTAAAGGAGGCGACTTCCTTGCGAGAGGGATGTGCCGCACTCGAAAGAATACGCGATCGCGTGGGCCGGTGTGTTTACGAGTGGAAATCAACGAAGGGAGTGAAAATTGATACGTTCGACGGTCCCTCCCTCCCTCGCTCGCTGAAACTATTGTGTCGAGGTAAGAACACCTGAAGAATTGCAGATGCCTGAGGTCGGACACTCTCCTGGAGAATGTCGGTTGCTGCTTTGAGGTGAAACAAGCATCTGGTGAAAGGTGAGTGACGGGCAAGTGATTGGCCATCGCTTCTCGTTCGCGAGGAGCTTTGAAGGTTGAAGTCACGACTGGCAAAAGCACCACTCGAGAGCTGAGCGAATCTCTAAAGCTGAACCGAGCGCACGTCAGGGGCTCGGAAGTAAACCCTCAATTGCTAGCTCAGGTCTGTGATTCATGTCGGTTTCTTCTAGACGGGGAGAGTGTGAAAACCGACCGATTTACTGCGAGCTCGGATGCACGCCCAGTGCGCGTGCTGCATTCGCTCGAGCACTCGGTATTCATGAAGAGCATATTTGGGCCACGCCGTGGAACGGGAATGTGGAGACATGAGTCGGATCTATATCGTGCACTCCGCTTTGAGCGGAATATCACCAATGGACAGGCCGGGGGAGAAAAACTCATGCTCAAATCTCGGAGGCGTCCTGTGTCAATGGAAAGAGCTTCTCGCAGCGTGCTCATGATTGTGTCGATGGAGTGGGAGAAAGAGAAAGAGAAAGAGAAATCTTTTGAGGGCGATCGATCTTACGACACTCCATTCTAGAAGATCGAAAGTGGCGAGCGAGCTTGTAAAGCAGGATGGATATTCATTCATTCCCATTCCATCTCATCTCATCTCTCGCAAAGGGACCCAAACGGGAGGAGGAACGAGTGTGACTGACTTATATTCAGAACGGGTGAGGTTACCGCACCTCGACCACCCAGACGGAATTGAAGGTCCCACCATTCCTTATCTGCTGCACCGCGTCACGTCGGGTCGTGCCCATGACATGCAACAAAGCTTTTTGATACTCGATCGATCCATCTGCGCCGGAGCTCATCTCGATATTCTTTCTGCCCCTACATCCAAATTCTTTCCGAATCTGGATGTGATGGGCCTCTGAGGCGAGGGCGAGGGCGAGGGCGAGCGCATATTCAGCAACAACGAGTGCCAATAGCGACACCAAGACCTAGGGGAACCCAAAATCCAGCTAGGGAGACAACAAATCGAAGCTACTTCGGAGAATCACCTCCCCCTCACTCGAGTTCAAGAATGAAGAAAGACATGCAAAAAGTCAGCCCCCGCATCGTGGGTCGCCCTAGACCCACTCCTAATCGGCTTTTGGTTTCTTGTGCACATTACAGATTCCGGATGTGAAACCGCAACTTTTGCAGAAGATTAATTATGTGACAGACAGACCCACATCGGTAACTTGCAATTGTCAACCCGAACAAGGAACCAAGGACGTCGCTGGCTCGCTCCCTCCCTCGCTCGCGCCTTGGCTACATTGTGGCCACGAGCCAACGGGGGAGACAAATTCAACGACGAAATTGACGGCAATGGTTCGAACTCGAGTGCCGTGCGACGATGATGGGCCCCAAGTGCCACCTCGCGGACCGTCAACTTCTTGCGTCGTCCTACGAAGCAGCGGGCACTCGCGCCATCGCCATGACTTCACCGCATGGCACCCGGGTCTCACCCAAATGTGCCCATCCGTGGATCCTCCTCAAGGCCCGAGCCCAAGAATCATCGAGACTCGGCCTCACGAGCGAGCGCGTAAATTCCTGCTTTTGTGCATGCAGCTCGTGCTCTAAGGCCGAGACCTCTTAGGCCGCGGTCATCAATGGCGCGCAAGTCCTTGCCTGCGATGCCTCGCGATTCATTCTCGCGCTCCTGCCTTTCGAGGGATCTCGCGACCGCCGTCTTAAATAGCCATGCGCCGCTGGACTGCGTGTGGACCCGCCGCGCTCCCTAGCGAGGCCGGCCATTGTTGCGCCCGCCGATCGTCATCGACCAGTGGCGCTTCGAAGGCCGAGCCGGCGCCGGTGGTTTCCCGGGGTCAAAAACGGGAGAACTCTGTCGGAAACACTCGTCGGACGAGTCCCATTCCCTCACTCCAGTCCACGACCGGCCGAACCATGGTAACAAGCGCGGTGACGGACTGGCCGACTGCGCATGGATCACCTGACTGCGGTGGGCCAGGATGGATGCCAGTCGGTTGACTGGGCTTCATGCCCCGATCCCCGAGCCTCTCGCTGCTGCTCGTCGAGTCGAGCATTATTATTATGCCAGTGGAACGCTGGACTCGCCCTCGATTCACCATCGCCTTGCATTTGCGTCGAGAAAAACCCACTCCGGGTCCGGCCCGAGCTCCTGCTCTGCGTTGACAAGGCCCATCACACTCCCCTCCCCCAAGAAAGCTCCATAGATCCCCTTCCCCACCCGTGTTTCACATCGATAATAGCTTTGTGAAACACGTGAGTGAGTGAGTGAGACACTTTTGGGGGTTCCATCATTAGGCTGGATTTCAGCTCACCCGTATCAGCGCTCTTGCTCGTCGATGACGGGGACGAAGAAGAATCACATCGAAAGTAGGAATCGCTGCCGGTGATAGCAGAGGCTCGGACGGAAAGTTGCCGTCCGGGGGATGGACGGATGTGGGATGCTGCCTGCCTGCCTGCCCGCCCGCCCGCCCGGTCGGCTGGACACGTGCACAGTGGAGTGATGGAGAGCCGGACGGATGAGGAGAATTTGCGGATTCCGGCCGCGGAATATGGCATGACGGTTGCGCGGCCTCCGCGAAGGACCCGGTCCGGGCACGCCGGGTCGAAGAACTCCTGTCGCGCCGAGGGCGAGGATCGTGCCAAATATCCAGCCACAGTGGCTCCACTCATCGGGCCCGACAGCTTCCATCGGACCAGGTCTCCCTCCAGCCTTCACCGGACATCGCTTATTCCCTCCGGATACATGACCCGCTCACAGCCGGTCCTTCGATTCGAGGTGATCGTTCTCCAGGCTGGGGTTGCGTGCCTGTCGTTTGACCCAGTACTCGGGCAGGCATGAAACTCTGGACCGTGGTTCCAACCCACGAGTGAAGACCCGCAGGTCAGGCGCTAAGTTTTTTTGTGCACCGGCCCGAAGGTGAAGCTAGTCCCGCGTCCCTCCAGAGTTCGAGCCCGTCCTCCCCCTGGAGTACGGGCCAGGACCTCGAGCTGCTGCTTTTACGAGGGTGTTCGATTTCTCCGTTGTTTCTGCTGAATTTCCGGAGGAGGAGCAGAAGATCGAGTTTGTCTTGGGATGAATCGATGCAGCAGCAGCAGCAGCAGCAGCAGTGTCGCGTCGAGGATTCGGTACGAGAATTGGGCGTGCATCTTTTCTGAAGCTCGGACCGTGGAGGAGTCTACGGACGAAGGACGATGAAGGATTCTAGGACGTGCCTTGGAAATGTCGGATCGCCGGCTGCCGTGTACTCACTCTCGTACGGCATGGGCTCGACGAAAGTTCGATCCTGAGACTTGCAATGCTGCACGCACCACCGAAGCTTTCTGATTCCATTTCTGATTCCGAAGCACGGATTGCAGCGAAGTAGTCTGAGTCTGAGATTCAGAGTCGCCACACTGCACTGCACTGCGCTGGACCCCACCCGCTGTCCGGGCTCTAATATGCTCGCACCCGTCCAGAGCGCAGCTTCGAAGAAATGAAACGACAATGTGGGTGCCAACTTCAGACCAGTCTTGAGGCTGCTGTACAAACTGTACTCGTTCTCGCGGCCTTGGCTTGGCAGGAAAGGCTATGGCGGGGCCCTTCGAAGTCAGAAGCTCCGTTCTGGTTGCTGTGGTCCTTCCATGCTCTCCTCGCAAGCTTGAGAACCAGTGCCAATGCCGCCGCCGTCGAGAACTCGGGCCACTCTCGGCCAGAGAGATGCTCAAAACTCTCTTCGTTTTCTTCTTCTTCTTCTTCTTCTTCTTCTGATTGTTCTTCAGGCCAGCCCCCGAGATTCTGAGAGCAAATAATCTGAACGCTCGGCCTGGCCTGTGCTGACGGCACGGCAGGGCAGCTGGCCATGCACAATGGCTCAGGCCAGGAGAAAAGGTTGGAACAGCATCGAGAAATTCCTGGGCTCAGATAAACCCTGCGCCCTGAGACCTGAGCACCAGCTTTGGTGTGGAGTGCCGAAGAAGGCTCAGCAGGGCAAGGTCTGCGACGTCACTCGCAGCAGCATGTGCCGGAGGCAAACATATTCCCGAGTCCGATCCAGTTTCTCTCTCTCTCTCTCTCTCTCTCTCTACACCCTGTCTTGCTCTACACACATTTTTGTCCAGAGGTGCTCATTGTACTTACGTCACTTGTGGGCCGATTTCATGGCTCCCAGGTAAAGGGCAGTGACAGTTCTGACACAAGCTCATTAGCTGTAAAGCAGACTGACTGTTGCATCCCAGGCCCACACCCGAGCTAGCATTAGCTTTTCCAGGCCTAGATGGCCCCCATACGCCCTCCCCATAACCCCACCGGGTTCAGACCCGAAGAGCAGTTTGAATCGTTCTTCGTCGACCTTGTGTGCAAAGTGCACTGCAGTGCAATGGACCACTGTCGACCATGCCTCCGACCACAGTAGCAGCAGCATCAGCAGCATCAGCAGCAGTTGTTGTTTCCAACACTGGCCTGGATGCCGACACCGGGCTGCCAAATCCGAGGTGCCCTGCTAGCCCCTAGAGAGCGGACATCTGGATCAGGCACGGCTCGGAGACGAAAGCCCCGAGCCCCGGGATGCTAGTGATGATGAAAGTCCACATGAATGGATGCTTGGCTCGCCATGGGGTGTGGTATACTTGATTAGTGCGACCGAGGTTGGACACTGGTGCAGCTGAGTCACGGAGTGTTGAATTTGCCTGGGGCTCGGACCAGACTAGAGCTGCTAAACTGCCACTGCATGCATGCATGCAGTGGCCACATCTTCTACAGGAAGTGCAATGTCGAGACTAAGGAATGTTATGGAAGAGATGCAGAGAGCCAGAGAGAAAGAACGAACTCCGTCAGTATATCGCTGTATTGTGTTGGTACACGTCGAGGATTGTATGATGTAAAATAACCAGAACCCAGGTCCCGATGCCAGGTCCATGCTGACACCGGAGACACAAATGAGCTCCTTTGTCACAGACTTGGCTCATCCCGTGCAGGAGTTTAATATTACTGGGGGATGAGTGATCTGGCTCTTAAGCGATGGAAATGGGTCCAGAATCCGAACCTTTGTGAGCGAGCGAGAGAGTGTGAGTGTGGGTCTGACATGCATGGCAAGATCATGTCAGAAGCTTTCCATGCCGGCTCATTTCTTTACAGCTCGAGCTGAACCTGCTCCCAACGGGTGATCGGCGAGTCTCTGATGCAGGGGATCTGTGAATAGCATTCGTACTCTCGAGCAGACGATGTCGGTGGGTTTTCGATCCTGAGTCATTGGTGCAGGTGCGCTGGTGTGCGAAACGACATCTGTGAAGAATGACGAAATCAATTTCCGGCTCCGGTGTATATATTCCCCTTTCATCCCCAAAGCATTGTCACTCATTACCAAAGCTTTACCTCCCATGCACCTGGAAGAGAACTATACCTCGTGTACATCATTATGACGAGCATCACCGAAGTTCCGAACGAGCTCACTCCCACTGAACATCACTGACCATCACCAACGGCTGCAGGTCAAACATCCATACGGCAAGACTGCTGTACCTTGAAAATTGCGTACGTATCAAGTGCAATCGTACTCAGAAGGAAGAATGTGCACTAATTAACATTCTCACCATCAGACTGTCACAACATCTACGGCTCTCTAAGGAGGGCCTCTAATTCAGACTTGCGGTCCGCCCCGAGTCACGGTATAGTGGATGACCTGAGCATGTATCCTCCTTTTGACTTGGTCAGCTACCCACATTGCCACAGGGAATCCCAGCTTCGTACCTGGAATCGAGAGAACGACGGACACTGGACTTCCTGTTGGGCCTGTTGGGCTCAGAGTTGAGAAGAATCTCTCGGTTTCAAATATGCTACTGCATGGTGAAACTCCACGTGTGAGGCTTTAAATTGGCTCGTCCCGTTGCTAAGACTAGCCGAAGCAGCAGGTGGAGGAGCAGTGCAGTGTTGAGCCTTGAGATGGAGAGAACTCTACTTTGACAGAGAGCATCGTCATTAAGCCTATCCTGTTTTACTCTCGCTGTGGCTTTCAATGGGCATGAGGTCTTATGGTCTCGGGCCCACCTTAATTTCCTCCTTACCAGTCAGGATCTCGTTCAGCCCCAGACCTCAGACGATGATAAAGTACCTTGCGCAGTGCAGTGCAGTGCAGAGGAGTGCTATTTTATCTTCGCCCTTATCGACTAATCATGTACAGTGCAGTTTGCTCTCCCATCCGCACTGTGCCTCCTTCCATCTGCGATTTGTTTGTGAAATGTGCGGGAGTGACTTTTGACTGTTCCCAAGCCATTGACCCAGCTTTGGACGAGCCTCGTGGACATCCAGTCCCACGGCGCTTTCTCGTCGAAAGTTGTTCCTTCTCTCCGTGCTTCATTAATTCATTCACTCCAGAAACACTATTCTCAAGCCTAGATCTTTCTGTTCATTCCAAAAGAGTTGACAGTCCTTGTCCGTTGCTCAACCATGTGACCGAGTTCCTCACCGATCAACAAGTGTGAGAGGTTGAAAGGAATGCGGTAGGTGCGTCTCGTGTCTGCCTGTATGTATCATTTCATTTCTGAAGCTGGTGGTGGCCGATCCGGGTATGAACCCACCATACAGCTGCTCATTATCATGTGTAGGTGTTCATGTTGGGTTCGCACTCTGACATGTCTCCAGGAGATCCTAAAGCGAGACTGACACACCTTTCTTTATGAAGACCAGAACAGTAAGTACTCCTGAGTCCCGAGTCCCTACTTTCTCGGAACTGGCTTCTTCTTCCCCTTCTTATACAACCGGATTGCGATGTGGTTCGTCCCTCCCACAAATGAACTGTGTGTAAAGCAATTGAAGAGGACAAGAATGACATCTGCATGTTTAGGCTGGTGAAGGGTTTTGCTGTGTTTCAGATTTCAAAGCTTCGTGAACGAGCTTCGAAAGTGATTGTTACAGCTACGCCCTGGACCTATCGGTATCTCTATCCATCGACCACGGTTGCCAGTGCTTACCAAACCATGTGACACAGTCGCCTTGACCGAGCTTTGGGGGGAGAGGGACTAGTGAAGATACGTCCAAATCCCCTTCTTCTCCTCCTCCTCCTCCCCTCGTCACCTCCTCATCTATCTTACAATCAATCATTCATCCTTCTGGTGTGGATATCCACAAACCATCTCAATTTATTATTTTGTCCCCTACCATTCTACTTGTGATCATTTCCCGACTGACACAAACCTGCGTACCGTATTAGGAACTATACATATATTAGCTAGACCAACCTTTCTACAAGACCTCCCTCAAGTCAATGAGTGTGCTACAAATTCCTGTCATCTGTCTGACATGTCTGTCATTTTTCTTCCCACTGAGAGGTCTTGAGGCCCTACCAAACCGTTCGAAATTTTTTCCCTACCAAACTCACCAGATCTTACACTTCCTTATACTTGACCCCGCTGGCTAGAGGCACCCACTACGCAAGCAACATAGGAATCCACTTTAGAAACTTAATCATAACCTACTACAGAGATTATGATGTGTTTAATCTAATACAAGCTAACCAAGTAGAATAGAAAATGACACATGATCAAGTGCCAAATGATGATAATGCACTCTTGGACGATCTTCATGTCTGATTCATTTTGACTAGGCTGATCGCCCACGTACTAAAGTAGCTCTTTGAATTCTGATCCCCCCAGTCACACTTTGGTTGATGCATGGTTTGTCAACATCCAGTACTGAGGGACCAAAACATCTGACGTTTACAACACCCAAAGTAGAAAGAGTCGAGGACTCGATTTTGGATAGTCTGCGTGATCCCTTGCTTACTCACTGGTGATACTTACCAGTACGATTAGCTCTCCGCGTGGTTATGAAACATCAACAGCTGCTTTTTTCTACCTACAAGTTCAAATGATAGAATAATGAGTTAGACTTTACTTGAAAATCGCTCAAAATATGTGAAGAGTATGTTATTATGCCTTTCCATGTACCAAGCTCGCTCGCTCGCTCGATCGTGAGAATAGATTCATAGGCAGTTCGAACCACAACTGATTTGGACAAGGCCAACCTTCAGACGTTCAGGCCCTCGTTACACTAGAAAATAAAGTGACACGATCAGAATATATTTTATCTTACGTCCTAGCTTCCCAATAACATCTGGCCGTCAACTTCCAAAGCTATTGGAAGCCCCCTTTGCACCGTGCGAAAGAACGAATATACGATTGTGATCATTCAGAAAAAAGGGTATGGGTATGGAATGGGCTCGAGTGCTACTGTTTTACCTTTAATATTCATTGAATTCTGGGTGAACGTAGATCTTCAAGCAGAACACGAATAGTACTAATCAATGATAGAATCATACACATGAAGATCCGATGCCTCCGTATTCGAAGATGGTGTATATGGCAAGTATGCCTCGGACCTGTAGGACGATGGCGGATTGTGTCAAGTCTTGAAAGTTTGGTTTCAAGAACTTTCACGACTCCAAGAGAGAGAGAGAGAGAGAGGGATGGAGGGAGGGAGGCGTCTAAAGCTGCTATTCGAAAGAGGGGCTCCTCTTTTGGGCGAAAGAAGTGCCCCTCTCCAATGCCCCCCAGTACACCAACCAACCATCCAACCAACCAACCAGTGAGTGGCATCGCAAGCAATCCACGAGGAAGAGGATCGGTTCAACTTGCATCCATCCACCATCGGAGGATATTGGAACAGTCTCAAAAATCGAAAAGGGGTGATCAAACAGCGCGTGCTTCTAACAACAGTTGACACGAGAGAGAGAGAGAGAGAGAGCATCCGACATGATCGATCACTGACTCTACGAACTCGAGTATTGATTGATTTGATTTCGAGTGAAGCAACGAGCAGAGAATAGGAATACGTGAGAACATCTTAATGAGGATGAGAAACAGTGTCTTACGGCAAGCATGATTACCTGGTCTCCACAAATGGCAGGTTCATCTCGCTGAAGGATGTTCCTCCTCCCGCAGGAAGTTGACAAGTGCGACCAAGTCCGCCATGTAGGACATAAAGACATTGATTCTATACGTGCGTTGCACGAGAGCGAGAGAGTGCGAGTGAGAGAATTAGGACCAGTGTTTGACCCACGACAACTACAGAACTGCGAACTGCCGATGCATTTGTCTAGATGTAATAATATCTCGACAAATATTATACCTTTAATCTAGGCGGCAAAAGGGCTCATTTGTGGGCAGATCCCCGAACATGAACACTTCTCCTTTCCATAATTGTACTCTGTGCATCGATTTCTTCTTCTTTTGAGCACGTCTCGCTCGGCCTTGAGACTTTGGCGCCGGTTAGAGACTAGAAAAAGCAACTGGCATCCAGTCCCATTGATGATGAAGATGATGCCATTGTGACGTTGATCCGAACTTGTATTCGTAGTATGATCATCCGACAGTACCACAGTATGTTTTTTTGAGACGATGTTGAAAAGAATGAGATCTATGCGATTCTGCTTTTACCCGACTGAATCTTTCCTTGATGAAGTTTAATGGATCATTCCCATAGAAAGGCATTTTTGGCAGTGCTTGTTGCTGCTGCTGTTGTTGTTGATCTCGTTTAAAGATGTGGGAGGGGGGGGTCACATCCGTTACCCACTTAGACCTTTAAGCACGTTTGGAACCATATGACGGCGTCCTCGTTGTGCACAACGATCTAGAATCTAAAAAAACGTGATTTTTTTTTCTGAGTGATCGTAACGGTTTGCAAGCTTTTGCTCTATGTCGTCCAAATTTTTTGGCACGATATCAAGAACATTGTGAAGCACAGGTTTCTTCTCGCAGAAAAGAACAAGTTCGTTAGAATCCAATCGCATCAAGGCCTTAACATCTTTAATTCAGAAGGTGTACTCCAGTAGACTACCAACTGAAAAACATTTTAATCTAATGAGCTGCACTATTTCCCAAAAATTTCCCATAAATCAGCCATCTAGCAGAAGAAATTGTTATGAAAAAAGGATCAAACCTTAACAAGAATGGACAAGTTTGTTTATCGTACACATAGAGAGATAATCGTGAAGCTTGCTCCATGAAGAAGAAAATGAAGTTCCATGGAGCTGCCCACGAGTGGGAACGACAGCCATGTCTTTCACTGAAAAGGAAAGCACGTCCGTCCGTGCTTCCGTCCTTCCGTCCTTCCGTCCGTCGGGATGTGGCCAGTCATTCCCTTCTAGTCCTGAACTAGGTCCACAGCGTCTGCACGTGGCCGGCAGCTATTTAGGCAGCCACAAGGACAACAACAGTCAAGCCTCGCCCTCGCCCTCGCCCTCCCGTGGAAGTGTCCGACTCTTCTTTCTTATGGGGCTTCCGAAACAGAGGCAGTAATGTTTAATTATGGATGCTTTCGGAGAGGTCTTGATCTAAGGACTCACTCTTTCTATTTGATGGTATACAGGCTACAACTGCCTTTGTCTTCCTCTGCATTGGTCTGATATTCGAGAGAGTGGTCATATGAGCATGAATTCTGGTTGACCTAGTCTTGTTCAAACTTGTTCAAATCGACACATGGATCTCAGGAATCGATCTCCGAGTAACACACACACAATCTCCGAGTAGCTTGTGCGAGTGGTCGTCTGTTTTGTTATGTTTTGTAGAAGTTAATTTCGGTGCGCATTTTTTTTATATAATTAAATAAAAGTGGTTCTCGATCAACACTTTTGAAGTAAGTGTGTCCCACATGCCTGGCAGGAACATATATGGGAGACAATTTTAGTTCTGAAAGAAAATGGAGGCATCGATTGGTGATTCATACACACAACCTCAAAGTGCTAAATTGGAACTGATGCTCTTGTCCAGAAGCTTCTTTTGCAAATGAGGCGACTGAGTGCTTTCAGATGTTCTCCTCCCTGCAAAGTAGAAGAACTCAACACAAAAAATGTGGATATGAACCGCAGTCTAGAAACTTAACCTTTCCACCATGTAACGTGAGGAATCTTACGTTGCTTATTACATCCCCACAGATTAGTGTTAATCACTGTTAATTATCCAGCAAAAGTGTAGTAGACACAATCGAAATAGTCTGACACGCGGGATTCGGCACATTTTGAAAATTTGCATTCGTATTAAATTTTTTTTCAAATTATGGAATGAGAATCTGTGTCTGTGATGGTGCAACTTCTGTGTCAGCGCTCGTCAGAATGGAAATATAGAAAAATGGCCATTTGGATCGTGACCATTCGAAAGGGCATATACCAAAGTCGCCCTTTGGATCTTGACGGTACAGTCAGGAGTCCATGATTAGCGGATGATAGGTAGACTGGTGGAGCAAGGGAAATTCTTCCAGTCAAGAGGTTAATGGAGAAGAGTAGATGTAGTAATGGACTATTGGAGAGTTACTCCGAGTCAAAACGCGAAGGGTTGGGTACCTGCAGAGGAGGGAAAAGGATGAGGCCTGGTCCACTGCAGAGGCCCAGAAGGCCCAGAAGGGTTGGCGGCGGCTGCTGGAATAAGAGTATCCACAATGCGTGCTCATATTCAGCACCAGTGTGCCTCCGACTGCATCCTCGCAGCTCAGATTCCGTTGCAGAAGATAGGCTGTAACAGCAAGCAAGGAGGGAAGACGAGGGAAGCACGCGAGCAGACACACATCGAGAGAATCCAAAGGGTCCCAGACCTTGCTTGGTTCGTAGAACTGCAAGAGAAGGAAAGCTCAGAGAAGATTGTGGAGTTGCTCCAAAAGCGAGAGAGCGAGGAGAACTAGTCTGAGCGAGAGAGAGACAGAGAGAGAACGGGTCCCTCGAGATAAATTCTGAGGCCTGGCGGGTTTTACTGGACGTGGCTGGTCTCGTACGGGCAGTATAGAGGTCACTCGAGTTGATGGTATATATGAACCATAAATTGTCTTGTCGAGGGAGGGAAGGGAAAGGGACGAGAGGGCAGGAGAGTAGAGCTGAGCTCTAGATCTGGCTGCTGCGGGGGAGAGATTGCAGCAGCAGCTGCAGCAACAGCTGTGTCAGGGAGCGCTATTGCTTTCTCAGGCTGTACAGAATTCCAAGTGAGTGAGCAACACTGGCTGTCGGGTTCTGGTTGGCATCATTGGCTCGGGCCTAGACTGCAACACAACCATTCACGACAGACAGATTTGTGGGTGGCGTTCAGACTCCGAGAGAGGGAGAGAGAGAGAGAGCGAGACTGGCACAGACTATCCCCCATTGCTGCCTGCTCCTCCTCGTCTCTCTCTGCGAGTCGATCATCATCATCATCATCACCACCTCCTCCTCCTCTTCTTCCTCCTCTTCCTCCTCTCGCACTCGAGTAGCCGTGTGTGTGTCTGAGTGTGTGTCTGTGTACATGGCCCTTGCTCTCTCGACCTTTCTTTGATTATCGCTCTATCCCATTCGTCTACCGAGGTCCGAATCTCGCGCCACTCCACCCAAAGCTCAAAGGCCTTGTACATTCGCACTTCTCACACCGTCAGGCTGCTCTTGCCATCTCTCCCATTGTACATACACCTCAACAGAAAAGTCGCCACGAAAATCGGCTGTGGACGACACTCTCCTCTCCTCTCCTCTCCGCCATCTCCCTCTCTATTTCTTCTCACAGGTCCGAATCCCAGGTCTCGTTGGCTGATACGTGGATTCCCAAGTACAGCTGCACAGAGTTCCAAGTGTACAGAGAGATCTCACAGAGCTCAAATCCATCATCATCACTTCGATGAAGAATTCTTCTTCTTCTTCTTCTTCTTCTTATTTTCACCTCGGCAGAGACTCTGGGACTTTGCAGATTCAGTGTAGCTGCTCTGAGTGACGCGTAGAAATTGTTTCGAGCTCCAGACGCTCGCTCGCGGAAATCGCATCCACAGCGGAACACATACTCCAGGGCGTCATTCCATTTCATTTCGTTTTCGGTTCCTAGCGCATCGCCCACAGAATTGCGCGTAGAGCGTAGAGTGATCGGAACGCAACAGCAGCAGCAGCAGCAGCAGCAGCAGGCCGGCAGATTCAGAGGTTCAGAGATTCAGATTTCAGAGATTGATAGATTGATAGAGAGATCGATAGACAGAGATGGAGAAAAAGATGAGGATGGGACTGGAGCGCGCGAGCCTGCTGCGGATGGTGCTGATCCTGGCGCTGGGCGGGGCGCTGGTGCAGCGGGCGCCGCGGCGGTGCCAGGGCGAGGCGGCGGCGCCGTTGAGAGGCGCGGGCGAGCTCGTGTACACGGAGTCGGCGGAGAATGTGATGCTGAGCAACGGGCGGCTGGAGGTGCGGGTCGGGAAGCCCGGCGTGCGCGGGGGCAGCATCCAGAGCCTGGTGTACAAGCGCGGGGGGGCGCAGGGGGACGTGGAGCTGCTGGACATGGAGCAGCGCTGCGGCGCGCGCGGCTACTGGGACATGCACTGGGAGTACGGGTCCTACATCACCGGCACGGACTACAACGGCAAGTGCCGCTTCGGGGACAACGACGGCGCGGCCTGGACGACGGCGGATGGCGCCGGGGGCGGCGACCAGCTGCTGGGCGTGACCTTCCGGCAGGAGCCGTCGAGCGCCGGGCAGGCGCGCCGGCACCGCGTGCCGGTGAGCACGCAGGTGCACTACGCGGTGCGGCGCGGGCTGCCGGGCGTCTACTGCACGCTGCTGGTGGACCACGCGGCCGGGCAGCCGCTGATGCAGCTGACGGAGCTGCGCCTGGTGCTCAAGCTCGACCCGGAGCAATTCGACTACTCTTACGTGGCCGACGACCGCCAGCGCTTCATGCCAACTCGGCTCGACATCAGCAAGCACCGCAGCGCCGCGCTGGCCTTCAAGGAGGCGCGCATGCTCACGCGCCCGCAGAACAAGTCGCTGCTCTTCGAGGTCGACCACAAGTACCAGTACTCGGTCGAGGCGCGCGACGGCATCCTGCACGGCTGGATCAGCAGCAAGGCCAACATCGGCGTCTGGATCATCTCGCCGCACAAATGGGAGTACCTGGCCGGCGGCCCCAACAAGCAGGAGCTCACGGTGCAGACGGGGCCCAATCTGCTGGCCATGCTGCACTCGTGCCACTACGGCACGCCCGCCATTCCGCTCGAGGGCTCGGAGCAGTGGGCCAAGGCCTTCGGGCCCTTCCTGCTCTACGTGAACCACGCGCGCGACATCAAGAGCCTCATCGACGACGCCAAGGCGCGCGCCGCCCTCGAGACCGCCTCCTGGCCTTACCCCTGGGTCCCCTTCCCCGAGTACCGCAAGCCCGAGCAGCGCGGCACCGTCACCGGCCGCGTCGTCAAGCTCGGCCGCTACCAGCACGGTCCAGGTACTGACTGACGGCCCCAATGCGCGCAATCTGTCTATTTTTGTTATTATCATCCTTGCGCTCGTCGAGCGCAATCCTCGAGATAGCGCAATTCTTAATCCTGGAGTCGAGATTCGTGGAAAGCCAATTTCGGACCGATTTCTTCCGATCTCGAGTCTCTGGGACTCGACATTTGGAATTTGAGCGGAGCGAGAATACTGAATGCAATCTGACTGTGTTGATTATATTACTGTCATCGTTCGCGAGGATTGCGCTCGTCGAGCTCTCGTTTTTCTTTGTCGATCCTCGAGGGCGAATGTCGGACCAATTTTCTGGCGATCTCGAGTGTCTGGCAATGGACATTGGGGATTGATTTGGGCGGAGTGAGAATTCTTTCGATGTTGACATGTGATGTTGGGCGTGGCAGCGACGTGGGTGGGGCTGACGGACGCGCTGTCGCCGATCAGCAACTGGGAGGACGAGGTGAAGGGGCACCAGTTCTGGAACGTGACGAACGCCGAGGGCGAGTTCACGCTGTACAACGTGAACCCGGGCACGTACCTGCTGCAGTCGCTGGTCGAGGGCTTTCTGGTGGACTCGTCCGTGCTGCAGACGGTGACGGTCAAGGCGGGCTGGGTGTCGAGCGTGGGCGAGATCGTCCTGCGCCCCAAGCAGAAGGGCCCGACGGTGTGGGAGATCGGCCAGCCCGATCGCTCGGCCGCCGAGTTTCTCATCCCCGACCTCGACAAATCGCGCGACTCCAGCGACGCGTCGTCCACCGGCGGCAGCGGTAGCGGTAGCGGCGCGCTCAAGGACGGGTTCCGGCACTACGGCGTGTGGGACAAGTTCGTGGAGCTGTACCCGATGGCGGACCCGGTGTTCGTCGTGGGCCAGAGCGACTACGCCAAGGACTGGTTCTTCGCGCACGTCAACCGGCCCAACCGGACGACGACGCAGCGCGAGATCCGGTTCCGGCTGGACGCGGTGGTGCCGGGCGACTACACGCTGCGCCTGGCCATCGCCGGCGCGCACCAGGCCGCGCTGGAGATCCGGCTCAACAACCCGTCGGGCTCGCCGCTGCACGACACGGGCGCCTTCGGGCGCGACAACGCGCTGGCGCGCGCCGGCATCCACGGCCACTACCACGAGTTCAGCATCAGCCTCTCGCACATGAACTTCCGCGCCGGCCTCAACTCGCTCTTCCTGCGCCAGCGCAAGAACCAGAACAAGTTCAGCTACGTCATGTACGACTACCTGCGCCTCGAGGCGCCGCTCGTCTCGCCCGGCAGCCTGCTCGCCAGCTCCCGATGATGATCCCATCCGCTCCCGCTGTACAGACAGGCTCGTCGATTGCTTCTTCCTCCTCTCGATTCTTACTCGATACAGTATAATCAATGGCCTGGCTCTCGCTCGAGACTGCCCAATTCATTCGACGTACGGGAATAAACGGGACGCGAAGGCGACGGTCGGTCCCACTAAAGCATCTGTCTCCCCCACACACAGACACCGCAATCAGGTGTCCAATAAGTTTCCCTGACAGTCGCGCGCTGCCATAAGAGAGTTACATAAGAGTTCTCGTGTAAATTACTGCTCGCTAGAATACGGCTATACTCGATGATACGGATGAGGCTCCAGAATCAGCCAACGCTGCTGGGGTCCGAGAATTAGAGAACTGTTTATACGTTGCTTCATTGTTTTGTTTACATTAATCGATACTGGGTCACCTCCGCACGGTCGCTACTCTTGACCGCTGTACATAGGCTCGATGTGCATTGCGCTCCTGTTCCTGTTCCTGTTTGCAACTCTTCGAATGCTTGAATGACGCCATGCAGTGCGCGCATGCATGCACCGCGGCTGGCGATGTGCTTCCGCGTAATACATCAGACCCTCGAATAGGCCAAAGAATCTCCAGATGAGTATCATATCCCTGACAGAAAGTGATCTCATTACTGTATTCATATCCGAGCCCTAATTGATGATGCGGACAGCCTCCTCTCCCACTTTGCCTTCTCCTTAGTGCGGGAGACATGTCAGTCTGCCAAATCTGGATGGCCAGCACTTGCTTCACACTCCACTCTTAGGCCCGATCCCGTCAGTTACTCGTTTATTCGTCGGACACATTCTCGACGGGCTCGACATCGTTATGTCAGAACGCAGTGGTGCCATCGCCCCTTGCCCCTTGCCCCTTGCGCCGAGGTAGAGTGCAGGACAGCTCAGTGAGGGAAGGAGAGAATCACCACGCGAGTTCAGCGGAGGACCGCGGACGAGGGAGGGCACCAGCAGATCGTCGCCCAGGCATCGCAAGCCGGAGCATCCGGAGACAAATGCAAACAACTCGTCTGGCAGCAGTCGTCCGGGCTCGCTCGCTCGCTCCTGCCCACTTTCGACGTGCAGGACAGCGGGTCTGCCACAAAGCCTATTTTCGTGTGGAGCATTGATGACCTACTCCACGCATTTAGTGGGAAAGTCTGCTCCACTTGCCATTCTAGAGGTCTCGCTTGCACCTGCGCCGAACCAAATGCAAAAAAGTTAAGAACCCTCGGCTCTCCTTCCGACATCTACAGATGGTAGTGTAGGTTCCTGTTCTTCTTACAATCCCCGCTGGACTCGCTCGCTGATTCCTCTAATCGCATGTTTACGCTAGTGCGGGCGATTTAACAATCTGCGCAAATCATGATTTTCCTGATTTGCTCTCGCCTATGCATGTCCTGATTCCAATGCTCCCTCATCGCCGGACATCTTGCTTTCATCTTCAGACTCGTTTCGCAGGTGAATCGTCCGATCACCCATCCTCACAATATGTGCGGAAGATTCCTTGTCAGGTTCAAAGACACATTTAATCATTGCTCCAAAGCTCTGGGAGTTGATGCTCTCGTTGTTCAGTGCCTCGAATAGTGAGTTCGAACTTCGCTGGTGAGGTTCGCTCATTGCATACTGCAAGCTTGGTGTGGGAGGGGTCCACGGTCCACCGCATGTGCACATGTACTCTTCACCCTTGCAAGCCTTGACCGAAGACCCTCTCAGGAAGTGGCAGCGCAGTCCTTAATCATGCTCATTAGCAAGACCGACCGAGAAGTCTCGCGCTCACGGGACCTTCTAAGGAAATCAATGCAGGGCCGACGTTTTGACACTACCGAGGCAGTCTCCTGACACTGGCATAGCATCATCCTGACGAAGATTGCGCATTTGCGCATGTGGGTCAAAAGTCTCTGTGTAATAGAATTTTAGGGTTACGATCCAACCTCCGAAATCCGAAATCTAGCAGATTCCGTATTTCATCGGTGTAATCGCAACCCGTCAAATTCGCAATAGTGGTTCACGTAGACCATCTTAAGATTTAATAAAGGACAGTCACGAGGTTTGACGATATGTCCAACTGTATCGTTTGGCTACGCTAAATGAATCGATTTGGTTTTCCTTCTCGGTAACATCCGTGAAAGGAAGGGCGACGAGAGGTGACGTCTAATCTACCTACAGAACAAAAAGCATATCATCTTTTAGGGGTTATACTTGTTGGACGAAGAATCGTCGATTTCCAGATTTATTGTAAGCTTCATCATCCATCATGTGAGTTACAACAGTAACTTGGATGACTCAGAATACAATTCAATGGAGTGGACTTCATTGAAACTTCCGGAAAGACGATGTTCAACATGACGTGCTGCTCTATGTCGCCGAATAAAGCCAAAAGTTTCAAGTCCCTAGGCCGCTTAGAATATTACTGCTAAATGATAGCATTTGTGTACGAGGCCAGAAACAAGAGGGGTCACGTTTGAAGCAGAAGCCGTGGAAGATGGAAAGCTCCACGGAATGACATGCAGGGCGCGCTAGAGCATCGAGAAAACCTTAAAGTTTGTTGGTGTTGTACCCATTAGGCGATGCAGCCCTAAGGTCCAAGACGCCGAGATATCAGATGTAAAAGGAAAGAGTGATACCTGATGACTCAAGAAGTCATCTCAAGTCTCGTCAGGACTATGGGACGACAGGATTGAGCTCGAAACATGCATGCCTCACGACCACACTCCCTCACATGTTACAAACGCGTCAAAGCTAGCCCATATGCCATGTCCGTGAGCACGAGGCTTTCCCCCGACACCTTCGAGAGAAACAAACAAAAGCTATAGCTCATACCATAGCTGTAGTGATATTTCCCCAACCAAATCCAGGGACGATGGCCATGTGAACGAGCTTTTTCTAAAGCATGTCTGAAGCATTGCAGAAATAACTGAAGATGGAGCCAAATGAACGAGACAACGTAGACCATAGCTGTAGTGATATTTCCCCAACCAAATCCAGGTACGATGGCCATGTGAACGAGCTTTTTCTAAAGCATGTCTGAAGCATTGCAGAAATAACCGAAGATGGAGCCAAATGAACGAGACAAATTCGACAGAGCAACGATTGATCGCTCCGGCGATCGATCGAGCCAGAGCACTGGTCGCGATCCTCCCATGCAGCACAAGCCTTCACCATCGCCCAAGATGACAAGAGAGTAATGCCCCAGAGCGTCCACGGCGTCGAAGCCCAAGCCCACTGAATGCGAAAAGCCAAGGCCACGACGTCGATCGAGTTCCCGACCTCGGACGTGGTTAGCTCGGTTGGCCTTTTGCGCTCTAGCCGTAGCGTACGTCCGAATCGTACCACGGCACCCTCGGCCACCCAACCGAGTTCATCACGACCCCTACGGAGAGTGCGTATGTACGCCTGACGGGACACCACCGGACAGAAAATGTTGGGCACGCGCGCTGCCGAACATTTGCTTCCAATCAGCGCCCGTCATCAAAAGAGAAAGCTGCAGCGACACAAAAGCGGATGCTTGTGCGATGTGCCCATAGCCCTGCGGACGGACCTTTCCTTTCCAGACCGCAGGCGCTTAGGGCAATGGTACGCGCCTGCCCTACGGCGTCCGTCATGTCTGTACCCGTCGTCGAGACTCTCAGGAACGGACAAGACTACGTCTGCATGTTCCGTAGCGGACCAAACTTACCACGTCTACTGCTGGACCCGGTAGATCGGTCGACAAACCGCGTACGTTGTGGTCCACAACCAATATTATACATTACTACGTACGAAGCGCGGGAAAAATAGGAGAAGTAGAACGCCAAGGAGGCGAAGAAAATACACCGAAGAAGAACCAGAAGATGACCAAGTCCTCTACACGGCGTCGGGCTGCTGCTATCAAAAGTATTTTGATATTTGCCAACCTAATTGTGAATTTATACACCCTTTTGATTTGATGCTTGTGGAGAAACGATTACCACTAGAAAATCACTTCTCGTTGATATGCATTGGATAATACGTTATGAGTCATATACCAGAGGTGCAGTAGGAAAGAAATGCTCATCGCGAGAATGGCTCACAAATTCGTAGAAGAGTTTTTGTTTTTCATTATTTATTTCCGCCTCTGTCTTGAGGTGTTCCTTAGTCAACACTAAAAATATTGAGCTCCGCACTTGAAAAATCATGAAAACGGTGACGAGTTTCTGCGGAGATATCTCAATTCCCGTAGTAATAATGTTTCTTCATGCGAAACATTTTATTATAATCATGGAGAACTTAATTGTTCTCATCCACTTTAGAGACAAAGGTGGTATGTGAAGAATGCCATCTACAACATTCTCCACGGAGTACAAGCTGGTACAAGCGAAGACAAGCGAAGGATGCGCTACGTAGTTCGTGGACGCTTCAGACAGCCCTCACTTTTCCAGAGGATTCAGACGGCGCTCGGCGCTCGGCGCTACGGAAGGAAAGAGCCGCATGCCCGACGAGGTCTGGACTCAGGCGAGGGACAGAGGACGGCTCTGAAGGTTCCCGCGGCAGACACGTTAAGCCAAAGGAACGTTGTTCAGCGTTCAGTTTAGAGTCACGCGCGGGGTCGTTTGAAAGGCACAAGGCTGCCTGGCGGCGGCCCGGCTGCTGCTCCTGGCAACCGGTCGACCTACCGGCTGAGAGGACTGGGCTGCCGGTTGCCTTCTTGCGGCTGATTAGAGAACGGGCTTCTCGTTGCGCATCATCTCGAAGTCGGACGCTGCCATCGAGCCTTCAGTTCCGACCACCACTCTCGCCTCGCCTTGCCTCGCCTCGCGCTACGCTCGTCAATCATGGGATCGGAAGATGCAGTGCTTCACCAGGTACGAGAAGAACATGCAGTGCTGGTGGTGGGTATCCATTTGGAAGTTTTGAAGTCTTTTCCGATATGGTTTAAGAGCATTCTGAATGTAAGGACACCGTTATGGTTTTTTTAGTCTGAAGTCTCGTAATGCTAATGAAACACCATTGGAGGCACCTACTGTCTTACCTCTATGAGTTTCTGCATTTTAAACGTCCTTGTCCGCAAGTGTTTTCATACCCTCCAGAGGAGTTGATACGAGTGCCATTCACGAAGAGTAACTGTTGGAAAACCGAAGAACTCAGCCCCGTCCCGTTAGTTGTTCGATCTGTTGGATGATTTGAGTTGGGCTTGGTTTGACCTTCATTTTGGAAAGAAGCAGGAGTTGTAGTGCCCAAACAACAAGTCGTCATCATCAAAAGAATAAGCTATTCTTTTGCTTAAGCGATTGAACTCTAGAACCCTGGTCTTTAGCCCAAATTCTGGAGTTGGTCCGATGATCCCCCGAAGTCAATGTGCAACTCTGCAATGCAGAACCCATTTACCTAAAATTAGTGAGGAAAAGATTAATCAAGAAGCAATCTAAGGCTTCTTGATTCGTACATTTTAAATCGCCAAGGCACAACTGTTTGGGATTCGGGATATATCTCATGCTTTTTGGTTCAACGTCTTGAGCTTTGGGTCTAAGATGTTTACGCCGAAAGATATTTGTGCCTACTTTTGGACTGAAAACATGTCTCCTTCCCACACGAAGATGACAAGGGCCTCTCCTCTTGAAACATGGGTTGTTGTGACTAGAAGTGAAAACGAGGCTTGTCTAGTTCATTCCGTGCTTTCTTGTGAAGGGTTCAGGTGATTCCTCGCAAAACCTTCTTGACTGCACCGATGTTTTGATTGTGTTGAGGCAGTCCAAATCTCCGAAAAGAAGATGCTCCACTCCAGTAACTAGTAGTTCATGTTTACATACAACGACATATTTGGATAGTGATATGGACGGATATCATATATGGCCAAGAGGCAGTGGAAAAGTACAGAAAGGAACCCAAGAGAGTGTCCCGTAAAGTTGCGAGGTGGGATTCTAGAGTGAACTACTATACTGAAAAATGGAGCTTTGGTCGACAAAGAGCGGATCTGGTACAGCCAAGGGACGGATCGATAACGTGTCAGAAGATGGAAAGGTAGCGGAAGTGGAATTTGAAAAGAACGTTGTGAAAGTCCACCTGACTGACTGACGAGGAAAGAAAGGACAGAGATGAAAGTTGAGTACGTAAAGCCTGCGAGTGCGGGTTGGTCGGTTGCTTGCATGAGAGAAAGGTAAGCCCAATGACGAGGTGACAAGATCAGCAGAAGCATCAGCCTTTTCCCGTTTGCCAATCATCTGTCCCTGGAATAGAGTTTTGGCATCTAGAGCCAGAATAGGATGAAGAATGGCATCCGCAGGCATACTGCTCTCTTACAAGTAACAAAGGGTGAAAAAAAAAAGGGAGTGGGAGACCCCATCAAGATGGATACTGGTCGCTTACATGGATTGAAAGATGCATGCAACGGTGTGGTTTGACATGCGATTCTAAATTTTGTGGGACAAGCATCATGGATCATCCCCATCAATCACGTAAAGGTGTTGATGAATCTTCGTTGTGCTTCAATCCCACCTTCCAGTCTAGCCTTTAATTAGAATATTGTAAACAGGTATCTCTAACTACCGCTTTGGACATTCTTCCTCTCCAAAAACACCAGGTCCCGCCACCGCACGCCATAGTTTGTGCAAGTACTTGCATGTAATGCTCTTGCTCCCTCCTAGCACGATTCCCCCGGTCTATCCTTCCAGTTCTACGGCCTGGCCTCGCCATCACCGAATTCTCCCTATCATCATATCGAGTCACATGCCATGTTGTGTGGAATATTGAGTTCCAAGTAGCTTTGGTTTTATTGCCTCGCTACTCTTTATGACTGCGGTGTTTTTTGCTGCTTGTTCTGTCTCGATCCTGGTAGTGGATGCGTGCAAGTGTACTGTGTGACTCCTCCTTTCTTTGCGCGTAGGGATCCCTTGTCCCCACTATGCCTCGATCTCAAACTCGACTTCTCTTGAGGTTGTGTGAAAGTACTCTATTCACTTTCAGGACCAGGAAGTCAATGAATTTAATACTTAGTGCACGTCTTTTGTTTCCTCACTATCGTCCGCTGGCCCGCACAGCGTGGTCAAGCAAAAGACGTTAAAAGACCGGGGCTTTTGAGCTCCAAAGACATGAATCTGATCAGCTCGGGGTCAATGCAGTTTATACAGCTTTTGCATTGTAAAATTGAAACTAGGTATAAAGCAGGAATTGAGATCCGCCTCAGTCAGGATATGGAATAATTTTAGCTGCATCATCTGTTCTGCCGCCATCCACTGGGTACATGCAGCCCGCCACAACCCTTCCAAAGGTAACAAGGAAATCCCGGCATGCAGACAAATTTCTAACCCTGCAGCAGCTGAGTACAGTATCAATGGCCCTTCGGCTTTACAACGTCCAGCGGAAGCACACTCCGGTTGATTCGCACTATACGATAACAGCGCAATGTTCGTGATTGAACTAATAGCGCTTGAATGACTGCCTATGTTTTGTGGCTCTTTCCATTTCCCAAGGCTTCGAGAATTACGTCCACATAATAGCTTTGCTGCACCGGACCTTGAGCTCGCCTACTCATACTTCAGGTCTTTGTTTCTGGAAGGCATTTAGACAATTGCACCATCCAGCGGGCTACAGAAACAAAATAACTCTGTATCATATCTGAGCCTAAATGTTGGGATCCCATCTTGAGGAGAAACCCCATTGTCTCTTGACATGTATCTCTATGAAACATTGCTACTGCATTTTCCATTTTCTTGTCCAGCAGCTGGCATATTCATATACATTGCCATCTACCTAAAGCTGAAACTCCTCCCTTCAATTGTGGCTGTTTACTGAGGTGGATGTGGTTCTCCTTAACTTCTTGGATTCACCTTCTGAAGTTCACTCGTCTGTAGACAAGAAGTACAGTAGCAAGAGGATGCAGGAACAGGAGTAGTTCAAGACAAGTTTCCCCTTACTTGGGTCCACATTATGAAGGACCACGATCCGAAGGGATCAAGATTCCAAGACAATGCTGACGAGTTTATTCGAGCAACGAAGATCAATTTCCAGGCCCCATGATCTGCTTTCACAGGAGATAATGAGCGCGAGGACTAACTGGTCTATACCGAACACGGAGCAGAGACACTGGAGGTCCATACAATGATGTTGGATCTCGGACTTCGCAAGCTTGACCTTTACTGGATGAGTTAGAGCTCACCGGGATCTTAGACTCGATGGGTATTTCATCTAGATGCGCCCTATGCACATCAGCTGGCTAACTCAACTGCACGCGATTTGAGCTCAGATGAAACCTGGCTGTGTGGGGTAAGTGTAGATAGCACGATCAGATCAGACCAGAACAAAACACAAGACTTTGTAGTGTTTGACCGGAGAGATGCCGAACTCTTCCCTTCTCTACAATCGAAGTGGGAAATCTCCGCGTGCGTTATCACTTCATTCATAGATGCATGTTCAGCACATATTAAATATCTCCTCGTCACAGTAGGTATAGAGTGGGAAACACTCCCAAAATTGCGTCTGTCTGCATTCCCTGGCTATTTTTCACCTGCGACGCATGGCTTTGCATCCATCGACGATCATAAAAAGGTAATAACATATATTCCTATTGCTACAGGAAGTGCTTGCCGGACTCGTTCCGGTGCTTCAAGGGGTCAGATACGATGACAACAATGACAAGCGATGAAAGAACCAACAAAATGAAATCTTATTAGAGTTCCGAGAATAACAAAGATCCGGAGGACATAAGGTATACAGATCGATGTGAGGACGTATGGTTCAGTAGGATTGCAAGATTCGATCATTCACTCGCGTGAAAACTCCAATGCAGAGCTTAGTCAGATAAGATCATCTACTATGTAGAAGGAAACACTGTACAACCGTGGGTGTCTACTTCATGGCCGGGCCCCTTTGCAAAGCTTGCAGCCTTCTCCTCTTCAACAATCTTTATTTGTCTCTTGTAGTGTCCTATGCATAATATTTGCCGTAAATAGGTCGATGCATACTTTGAAGTTGAAGATTTTGACACATCAGGTACAAGTCTAAATCAAAGGTTTACTTAGTCACGTCTTTCATCTCGTTGACAACTTCGACCTTGGGACCGATCCGATCTTGCAAGCTTGCACATCAACTTTGCTCAACCAGACATAATTCCGATTATGCTACACTGGATTTCTTCCTTGTGAAGGTATAAAGCTTGAGGGTTCACTGGTGTAGATACATACATACTGAAGACTGGGTCTTAACAGGCAGAGTTGAGATTCTAAACGTCTCGCAGGCCTACTCGAACACATTACAGAAGAAGCTTTGTGATGTGCTCGACAAGGTGGGTCCTCACCGACTCTTAGCAAATTCACACAACACGTTAGGAATCATGATATACTCTAGCAGCAAAAAGCTGTGCCTTATTTGCGCTTCTTCTTTCTTGATGGTTGTTCCTTTAACTGACATAGTGCTAGAGATAATTGAGTACGTTTTGGCCATTCTGAAAAGGTGAGACTTGAGGTTGCTCTCTGTCTTTGAGATGCTTTTAGGTTGCCCTAGACCTTCGAAACCCTTCATGATCGTTTCACTTATAGTTTAGCTCATAGAGTAGTGTGCCAAAATATGGAAAAACATTCCGAGACTAACTCTTAAGCCCATGTGCGAGTTGGCTGATATTCCTTTGGACTTTTTGCTGCATGATCACGCGTTTTCTTAAGAAAGAAGAAGATGAAAAGGAGAGATACTGCGTTTTTTTGAAGCTTTTCTAGGGATGCCATCTCGCTCAGTCGTTGCTGCTGACCATAACTCTCATGATTTCAACTTTCTTTGAGAAAGTTGACGTAGAAACTAATCCTCTAAAGGTCATCTCTTTTGATCCAAAGGTTCTGCTCTGAATCTTGTCGTTTTTTGTCTAACTCATCGTCATCTATGAATGCAGTACAAGTCATAGTAAAAAACTAATACAACTTCGTCAGCTTACAAAGATTTCGTATTGCGTGAGGTTGTTTGCCTGTTTAGAAAACCTTTCTTCATTACTTTGACGCCAGGAAAAGACATAAGTACGTTTTGGAACAATGATGCAATTGGAGGATCTGGTTCGAGTACAACATAAATGTACACAGTAATGTTGTATGTAACATTGTTCTGTTGAAGGTGTCGTAACTCCTAGATGCATGGTTCATTCCATCTGCGCTGCTGGATGTGGCGGTGTCCATAGAGGCCAAAAATTTGCTCTGTGACGTATTGCATCATAATTTTTTTATTATTCCCAACTTTTGCTATTGTCCTGGCCTAGTCTCATATCCCTCATAAAAATTGGTTGGTTCACGTCGGTTGCTACTATTTTCAGTATGTACCTTCTTTTACTCAGCTCTTCGTTGCTATGTCGATATGTTAGAGTTCCCACTCCTTCTGTTCATTCTTTGCATGAGTGTTCTCGGTTATGTTTGTTCATTTGAGCTGCCTTCAATGCATTGACCTGCTCATTCCAGCCCTCCAAGCTACTGAACTTCAGAGCAAGAAGTCACGCGACTTTGCGCAATGTGAGTAATCAGTAGGAAGAAGCTTCCTCTGAATATGAAGATAAATGATTAACTTTGGCCTCTACTTGATTCTTGGAGAATGTTGCAGTAGATGTACTTTGAGGCTCCCCTACAAGTCTCTCCTTATTCATTTTCACTTATTTTCATTTCAGTTTATGATCCACCTCATACACTATGAGGCAGAACTTGAAGTGTTGTTTTAAAACCGTTTAATTGATCCTGGTAGAGAACATGCGCAACGAGCACAAACCAGGTGAATGACCAACACTTAACGGAAGTAAAGGTACTGGGCTCACATGGGTTGAGATTTTCGAAGTTTCAAAAGCTGTCATGCTTCAGGGTTCATTCAGAGTCATAATTCCCGAAGAGAAAGTGTCCAGATGACGGGTCATTTATCATGAGAGATGGAATGTCTCACCTTTCTCGACAGAACCTAGATGAATATGATCAACTAATGCCTCTACACTTCGAATGATGGACGAAGGAATAGGTTTTCTGCCAGGTTCTAGGTCTTGAGATCAATTTTTCTCTCATTCAAATCCAGCGGTCAATCCAAATGCGCCGCGTCGAGCAAAGGTGACCGACCCACTTTGCGAATGTAACGCATCGCAAGGAGAACTGTAACAAACCACAAATCCTTAGTGCAAAACTTCAGCTGATAGAAGGTGTTGTCGCGTCCTCCGTCTTCGAACGCGTACAACGTCGAGGTAGGATCGGCAGGAGACGCAATGCTGTCTGGGGGCGTTCACGACAAGGCTAATAGAACTGATGTGAGATGAAACTTAACAGATAGAAGTTTACACGGCACTGCAGCACGAGAAGGAGCCTAACAGCAGCTCATCTCTGAACCTGATTTCTGTACAGGCTACTAAACCTGGATTCACTGGTAACTGTGCTGGTCGTACTTGCTACTAACTTCATCGGTTTTCTTTCATTTTCATCTCACTCATCTAGATGCGAGCTACTTTTGATCTGGTGACAGAGAATGGAATGTTCGAGAAGAACGTTGTCAGCATGTTCATGACATACTAAAGAAATAATCACTTATCCTCGAGACCTCTTTCGTTTCGGAGACTGATGTTAGTGAAAGAATAACCTCTTCAGCGAAGACGGTGGAGAATGAAAAGAGGAGGGATCGATTGGATATGATTGGATCAGACGTGAGTGGCCTGAGTTATACAGAGTAACATGTAGAAAAAGAAGATTGACAATGTCCAAAAGCAGACACTGATTCCGTCAGTAGTGCGATTTTGTTTGTCTCAAACTCTCTCAATTGCATCACGAAGCTTTAACGAACAGTACTGACCACCGCACTGACAGAAACATAAAATTGACGACTTATTCTTCTAGTAAAAACATAAAGCAATTTTGTTATATCATTCCACTACTCTCAAGAACTTCGCATGCCGAGGGATCGATGAGTAAACAGAGAAATTGAAGACACCGACCACTGAATGTAGTCAGTTTAATGGTTGACTCTGCACGTTGGCAGCAGGAACAAAGTCAGCGTCCTCTATGAAGGCCGAAATGTCAACAGCAGGACCTGTACAAGCACAAAAGGCAAGCGCTGAATGATGGTCGACAGACACAGAGTACGAATAAGACGTAAATGTATGTATGCTAAATTAATGCCAGTTTAAAGTCAACGTGATGGGGCCCAATATCACAAAAAGATTGGACGGAAAATTTCAACAGGAATCCAGCACTCGTCAAAGTTATGTTGTCGAGGAGAGACAGAGAAACACAAGTACCTTGCAAGACCCAAGGTTCTGAATTGTATAATATACTTATTTGTGCACAAACATACTAGATTGTTATCGAGACCTGCGTTTGACCTAGGTGATAAATGAGGATCGAAGTGATTCTCCGATGAGGTAAGGGAGGTTTGGTCTGCCGATTGAAGGCCCGGGTTGGGCTCCCGTGCCTACTGGGCTTGCAGCATTACATGCACTGTGCCTCGCTTGAGACTTGCTCGAGAGCAATGCCCGCCGGATGTGCTGGTCAGAATCTGTCTTTCTCGCTCGTACGCACCTAATGGAACACGGTATACGCATGACTTGTAGTATGGGTCCTAGTAGCTTGTGATCCACCACTTTCATGCAGCTTATATGCTTTTGCAACGTAATTGGATCGATGAAGACTGTCTACTGTGTTAGCCGTGTTTGGTGTTTTGGATATGTGGAATAGAGTGAGTAGATCCGGAACATCAGGTCTGGAAATCCATCCACTCTTTTCACAGGCTTTAAGAGAACGAACGTCCTAGGTGGCGTGGGACTTCGTACTCTGGACTCTTGGAGCAACTGCTACTCACTGCGGCTCCTAGGCTGATGATGAATTGATGATATTGTTGGAACAGGACACTGACTGATCTGACAGATTTGACAGAGCTCGCAGTGGTCGCAGAGAAAAGTGAGAGCGCAGAAAGTTTGAGGTTTACTTTTTCATGCATGCGCGCTTTCCCACGTGCATTAGGGCATCGAGACTGGCTACACAATGTTGATACAATACTATAGTTTAGTGCTCCGATCTAGGGTCATGTCAGTATTCGGTCAGAGAGTCAGAGATCGTGCAGGGCTGGCACGCACTCGGGAAACATTTTCTAATCTGCAAGGATGGTAGAAATGTAGCTGATCTCGAGACACTTTCGCACCTTATCCAGAATTTGTAGCAGTTGAGCATCTGTCTCGAACTCCTCACTCGGATCTCTAGATGTACAGGTTAGTGCTATCTCATCTCCTTTCGGTATTTCCCATTGAACCCCACTCAATACTAGATGACCCCATCTTGAAGGATGGGCGACGAGTGGAGGAGCGCGTATGGAAACGCCCTGTAGTTTTGTATGCAGACACCTTAAAAAGTTTGTTATTTTAGTCATGAAGTTCTGAGTAAACATTTTAACCCGTCGGTGATAGTGTGCATTTGAGTATACATGACTGAAACGTACAACAGTACACGATACTATGTGACAAATTATATTTCTTACTGTACAGTGCATTACAAGCAACAGGTATTCGTTTCTTTATAGAGATCAATGGTTAATATTATCTATCGTAATTCGATCACATTGCATGGTTGTTTAAGATATACTAAATTGGTTCTAAACCATTTGAATATTTCTCCCTACCATGGTATCGGCGCTAGGTTGTAAAGTTCCGTATTTGTTTGGTTTCATACTTGTGTACGTTCACATTTGTTTTGATCTATCGATTGGTGCTCATGCATTCAACACTAGACGATGATGGTGATCTCATATGTTGCTCTAAGCCTCGCCTTATGACGAGGATTGTGACCCTTGCTCGCTGGCTGGCAACCACCACTGAACTCCGCGTATTGGATCACTTGGAATCTTGGTCAAACCTAAAGCGAAGCAGATGATCAGGCAGGCTTGAGCAAGAAAGGATTCCTAAGAAAGGGGTGAAGATCAGCAGTCAACTGCTGATCAGAATGTTCGAATACCATTTGTCTGACCAGTCATCAACATGGCTTCCCGAATGAGAACTGAGGGAGAGATCAGTGAACGACCTTCCTTTAGGAAAATGGCCGCTGTAGGTGTGCAACCTGTCGGATTCGTTTGTGCATGTGCATTCAATGGCGCAACTTGAGGTCAACAAGTGTATACAATGCAGCATCACCTCCGCTTCTCAGGCATACTTTTGCTTGCTTTCTTGAGTGCTGACTGACGCTGGTGCACAACATCCTAGTGTCGCCAGCGAGCCCTCTAGTTGAAGACCGAGCAAACCAGGTATTGGGACCCGGATCCTGTTTTTCCAATTCATCACTTGCCCTGCGAATCCTGTGTCTTGAACAGTATCATGCTGCGTGGACGATCAAGTTTCAGCCATGTACACATCTATCACCTGAAAGAGATACTGCTCTGAATTGACTTCCGTCATCCTCCCGTATACAAATGCCTCGGCTGGTAGAATTTTCAACCGCAGGTCCCAGAAGGCCCTGGTTCAAAACCCCGTAGCGCAATCGTCAGGAATGGTCAGCAAGACATAAATGTTGAAGTAAATAATCCGATTCCAGTGTAAGTCCAGTAAGTAGCAAGAAGAGGTGGGATAGCTCCCATGGAACAAGTCGTTAGAACAAAATCGTAGAGACAGGAGGGAAAGTAGACATGATGGCCAAAGTCCACCTCTATCGATCGATGTCCAATAGGACGAAAACTTTCGCAAATTTGTGGAAGAAATGATTTTCCTTGATTCGTGCAGCGAGATGATTGCGCTTGCAAGATTCTGCTTGGTGCCTGTTACAGTTTGAGATACCACTCCTTTCCCCACTGCCTGTGTCTCGAGAGTCCGTGTCGTGTGTTCACGGTAACCCGTTTTCCAATGCATTGACTTGAGAAGTTGGAACGTGTCCCGCTCGAAAATATCTAAGTGCATACGTCCCAGCATCATTCAGAGATTTCGGGGCTAACGATGTACCATCTGTACGTAGGATTCAAATGGAGCACAAAGCCGATCCTCATCTTCCCGTGAAGACCCTGAGATTCGTCAATAATACTAGCCGGCAGTTTTTCATTCGTAATGTTTGTGAGATATGCCTCTCAACGCGCTTTACTGGAGTCTGAATTCCACATCTGCTGCTCAATATCTTCGCCCTGCATCATCTCCTTTGTCCTACTCGTGGTTCTACAATATCTGAAGTTTTGGATGGACAGCCTGTCGACATTGAAAAAGGCAGACGCAGAGGTTAACCGACAAAGATTTTGCTCATACCGGGCTGCCGGTAACTCTTCATGGCATGACAGCTTGCCGTGACTTGCTACTGCAGGTATTGAGTCCGCATCTCCACAACTGAACAGAAGTCCATGTTTGCTTACCTACATATACATTCTCCTATTTACCTTCGATGTAAGTTGCTGGATCTGCTTGACTCTCTGTTTGCAATATGTCTGTCTGGTAGACTTTCAGACTTAGACTTCATCATAGTAACATCAACTTCGAATGTGCAGACTACGCTCGCTTGAAACCTATTAGGCAACACGGAAACTCCGATCACAACATCCGAACTCAATGGCCTACCAAAGTCTACTGACGACAGTAGGCCGGTGCTCGAGGGCCGAATGTCTGTGAGGATAAAATCCAAGGGCTGCTGAGAGCTCTATAGCGGCATGCCTGCTCCTGTGATTTGAAGGCCGATTATGGAGCTTAGATCGAGTGCTCATGTTCGGAATCAGAACCAGGCTTGCCATCCGGATTCTCCGACGACACATGTGGGTAGACCTCGAGCCTGCATCTGGTTCAGAGTGTCGGTGAGCCAGTCCAAAGCCTCGTAGAGGCCTTCGCCCGTGGAAGCTGAAGTCCCGACGATATGCCACCGGTGGTTGCGAAGGCTGTGGAGATCCAGCGACACGCAAACGTCGACAGGGCTCAAGGCCGTCTTCATATCTTGCTTGTTGGCCAGGACCAGAATGGCGCTGTTTCTCAGAGACTTGTCAGTCACGATGCTGTGGAATGCCTGAGCCGCCTCGTCGATTCGTTCCCTGTCCAGCGAGTCGACCACGAAGACCAGACCGTCGGTGCTGTCAACCAAAAACCTCCAGGCGCTGCGTGCTCTCTTGGCCCCGTCCACGTCCCAGACCCTGAACTTCACGTTTTTGTGATGAATCTCCTCAATCACCACCATGGGAACATCGACGTTCTTCTCACCTGCTGGATCCGGCGGGAAAAGCTCCTGAAGCTTGTAGAGAGTGGTCGTCTTGCCCCCGGCATCCAGTCCCAGCAGCGCCAATCGCATCTCCTTGTACCCGAGCAGCCTTCGAAACGACTGCCCTAACCTGGACATCCATCCCTTCTCAGCCTCCATCGCTCGCTCTTCCTGCAGCCACCAGCCCTAGTTTTGCACCAACGCTACAAGCTTGTGATATCACCGTGTGCCCCGTTTCATGCTCCACCGGCGGCCTCGCGTGCTCATGGAGACAGGGTTCATACCTCGCTGGCTCACATCTCGCCGCATTACCAGACATGTCCCAGCTCCCCACATCTGACCCAAAAGACGAGTGGTCTGTCACACTCAACGCAGTTGCGCAGATTTGCCACTTCCTTCCTGTCTTCATCGATTCCTCGTGCCATGGCAGGAAATTGATGGATGGTCAAGTACGACCTCTGCAGTCCACTGCGAGCTTGACTTGCTCACAGGAGGAAGTAGATGAATCATCCATTTCACCTCGACGCGCGCGTTCAGAGAGCGCGTAACTCCCTCAACCATTGGACGTCTGATATTGCCACACTTGACACATCCTCCACTCTGCGCAGCAATACCCCAAAACAAACCTCGCCAGGAGAATTGTCGGTCACAGTTCCGTATTGATTTGTTTTGTTCGAGTGTATTACGTGAAAGCCAGTCACCCCGGCCTCCAGAAGTTCAGGCTTCCATACTGGTCTGGAAAATTTCGACTTCCGACTACGTTTGTCGGAAGTCGAAATTTTGAGTTTAAGCAACTTGAAGCGTACAAAAAGTCCTCAAACCATCAGAAACGATATTGTGAACAATTATTGACGAAAACTTGGGAGTATGTACAGAGGCTTATGAATGATATTGAACACATGATTGATGGTACATTGTTTGAGCCAATTAACGCTCTCTTCAGTCTACAACCTAGTTACAATCACAGGTGAGTGCAAAACTCTCTTGCTCAACGTCTTTCAAATGCTCACTGAAAGCCCCGGATATTACGGGGCGTTTCAAGCTCCAACACAAGTCAGAAGGCACGTGACACTTCGCTTTGCTCATGGGCTTCGCGTCGCAGGAAATAAAAACCTCCCTGGGACCAATGCTTTCTTCGACGGTGATCAACTTATGCTGAATTATAAACACAACAAATGATTAAAACTCTTTTACTATTGTACAATTTGATGAAAAGGGACTGGCCTGTCTGATCTCCAGAACCTCTATTGACATGTGTTGAAATTCAGATACTGCATACCATGCAGAGAAGCCTACGTAGTGCCCTTAGTTGTTCAGGCCATGTATCCCAACTCTAAGCTTGTATACTCTACACATGATTCAGAGCCAGGACGGCCCCGGCGCTTGTACGTCTACCCAACATCTCTTTCTAAGACGCAATAATCAAGCTTTTGCAGGAGATAGACACATGTACTCGGGTGTTCCTGCAAACAGCTCCAACTAAGAGGAACAAGAATGGCCTGTTCGGAACCAGGTGGACATTCAAAGGAACGTCACTCTGTCCCCGCTGTGTGAGGTGGACTGTACATAATTGCACTAAAGACGACTCTAGGGCTTCTACTGCCGCTCTTGTGCTGTTCCAAGAGTACGAGGTAACATATCGGATTGTGAAGGTGGTCCTGATTCAGTTGCATTTGCCACTGAACCAGAACCACTTTCAAAGAGATTTACTTGGAGCAAGGGCGAGAACGTGTTGTACAATAAGTTGCTTATCGCCAATACTGAGCCCATCGGTGGATTGTCTCCACCATTTGTGGGAATAACGCGCTGACGCTGTCGTTAATTAGGGACTGGAAGAACTGGACTGCTTCCTCATCATCGAGGTCCAGGCGAAACTTTTCTTGAATCTATACATGAAAGAAAATACACAACGATTAGAACTGTAAGCACGTAAATCGTCAGGAAACGGCTGGAAACTTGCAATATTAAACTGTACCTTCAATATTCCTTTCTCGGGATCTGATGCTATGTCCGGTATATTGGCGCCGGCCATGAGATGAAAAAGATTTAAGATGAGGTTGCTTGACTTGCGTAGGATGTTGTAAGCTTCACAGCAGAAGGATTTGAACCTGCCATAGTGCTCGCTGGAAAAAAAGAAGCGAGCACCCTTATCCGTTAGCAATCAATTTCCGGCTACATTGAAATTGGCATGGAGGCATCTGGCACTTGGACTAATTGAAGCGGTGACATGCATGTTCGAGATAGTATGGACAAGATGCTCTTTCATTAGCCTCTTTGCAAGAATTCTGTTTGAAAGTCTTACCTCTCTGCTCCACCCATGGCTTCAACCATCTCCTTGCACAGCTTCATAGGCGGAGGAAAAGGCTTCGGGTCACGACCCAAGATGAAGCCGAAGTCGATGTGAAACAACCTTCCATCCTTCGTAAGTAGAAGATTATCAAGATGTCTAGAACAAGTCGCACGAGCCAGAAAGGGGATCAGTCACATTTTGCTTTAGACCCTACGCATCTTCAAGCATATTTTCTCCAAGACCAACCCAACATGATTGAACGAGGCAGCAGCCTGATGACAAGATCTTTACACACCTGTCACCCACACCGAGGATATACATAATCACACAATAGCCTGCGCAACTTCTTATGAATGTCTCCAAACAGGCTGCAGTGATGCCGAAAGGACCATGCTCATCCGCATGGTACTGTTGGAAAAAATTGATAATGGTCTTGTAGTCACCCAAAACCTGGTCATGTCCATGCATTAAGCTGGGCTCAATTATGACACAAACGTACAAACCTACTTCAAGTTCAAGGTCTCTAGAACGTAAAAATCAAAGTATTAGTGCGCCTTATGCCTCGGGACGTGGTCAAAAACTTGAGTCAATCCACTACTCACACCTGTGCCAGTGATGTTGAACTGACGAACTCAACCATCCCCTCATCCTGGCCTGTCGCGAGAACTTTATAAGGAGTTAGCTGCAGATCTAGGTTTTCCAACTTCAGCAGTCTGTCCATCAAAGAAACCATTTGAATGACCTGCCAAATGAGAAACATGTAAAAAGGATAAGAACAAAGAACATCTTCCAATATAAGTGATATGTTTCAAATGGAGTGAAAAGCCTAACAAAAAAATCAATGCTTTCTTAGGTCTTCCCTTATTCACAGCAGCTTCTTTTACAACCCCCATTTCGTTTCCTCCTTTACAAAGCTTGCATGCTATTATCCTACCTTCTAACTGCCTCGTGAGCCAAAATATCAAGTCACAAACACCCTTGCTTTCACCAGAAAAAAATAACAATGTCTATAAGGCCTACTACTAGCTTCTAGACCTACTATCTACGCCCGTCGCATATTGTGAAGGTCTTAGACGTTTGAGCCTTTCTTGAAGACGCACCAATTGATCTTGACGCATATCGTCGCCTTTCTTAAAAATTATCTGGCATTTTCCACCCACTTTTGTTCGGAATGTCAACCGGAGAGGATGCAGCGTACTCTTGAATATGGACGACTCAGATGGGATGATTCCTGTGATCATGACAGTCGGGTCCAATGGCAGGCTTATCGGCTGCTACGACACCACCAGCAAAGGGTTAATGTACGGCATGGTGGTCGTCCAAGTCACTGCACTACTTGTTCTATCGACGTAGAAGTAGATTCGATCAGTCAAATCAGGAAAAAGGAATGACCAGTCTGAAGTCCAGGGGTAAAGAAGAGAGCAATCAGCTTAGATGAAAAGAGAAAAGAGATGTTGGTGGATTCTGGGCATGGAAAAAAAAAAAGAGTTCATGGATTACCACCTCGTCAAAATATGTCAATTCGCTGAGCAGGCCTGTGAGCAGTTGACGCAGTTTTTCGATCATTTTCTTTGTTCCACCGCGGGCATTTTTAACATCACGCATTATAGAACATAGCTGGGCTGTCAACTCTGTCTGCCGAATCATATTCTCCCACTGCTCCACTCCAGCAGGTGTCTGCGGTTCGAAATTTAATTTGCAACGTCAGCAATTACAATCAACCTTCTGAAGTGGCAACAGCCAATTTCATCACTACACTCAATACAAATAGATATCCATTTCCTCGAGTTCTCAAAGGTGGGGGCTTCTATTAGTCGAACCAACGCCCCCACGACTCGTTTCCTCTTTTCAATCTCAATTGGTGTTCATATCACCATTTTTTTAGTGACTTGACGCATGCCATAGACAAGAGAGAATAATACCTTCTTAAGAGCATCTTCCAGGATGTCATAGACACAGTAGAAGCGTCGTGCGTAAGATGGATCTTGAAGCTCCACCGCAACATACCATCGGAAAAAGCTGGATAACTCGGGGCTTTGAACGACTGAGGGTTTCCAATATAAACCACTTCAATTATCAAGTTATGAGCATCTCTCGAGAAGGGGCACAACGTAGACATCTATTAACATAACGATGTCAGCGTACTTCGGAATATCGTGAGATCGCTCCAGCCTTCGGAACTTGACAACCAAAATTAATTAAATGACTTTGTCGACAAGGACAACAACAAATTACCTCTGTCGACAAGGAAGAACGTTAAATGTGACTTATCAGATCGTTCATAACGCAGGGCCTGCACCAGCTGTAAAAGGTAACAACGAAACTCGTCATCATCAGCACGCCCCAACACCGTTACAGCGTAAGCTCTGACCTGCAAGACAGTATCCGCTTCGTATTAGAGGAACACGACATACTCGTAATTCCCACGCTCTCCACACGTGAGATCGTGGAATAACTACAAAGCACCGCCTTCCCCTCCTCTAAAGATACGAAGGTTTACCATGTCAATGATAGTCTGAGTTCAGACTATCATTGAGTTTCAGCTGACGTCACCATGAAGCATCTACAGAGATATAAAGAAGATATGAAGAGCCCAATGAAAAGGACAAACCTCTTCGCTCTCGAACACAGGTGACAGCAGCTCCAATGCATCGGCTATGTCGATCGGAGCCCATTTTTTCATTAAGTCGACAGCTTGCTTAACTTCCTGGTGTTTTCAGTTCGACGACAAGAAGACGTCAACATTAGCAGACAGCCATATTGAATCACAGATCAGTGAGGGTGAATTGTCTTATACGAAAGAGCAAGATAAATTCAGACAAACAGTCAGCAAGTAAACGAGTTTGGTCTACCGAAAAAGAGCGTCACCATACACATGTGCATGCGCTACCTGAACAAACGAAGAAAGAAGAGAATTTGACAGTGTGAAAGTACCCACCTGAGCATCACTCCAGTCAACGCAACGCAGGAACTTTGTCAATGCGCGTTTGTCCATCTTCAGTGAAGAGCGAAACTTCCATAAGAGTTGCCTCTCGTCACCACTCAATATTCTCGTGGGCGGATGTTTCAAGATTTTTTGTAATGCCCTAAAAATATCCGATTGGTATTGATCCATAAATACAACCAGAGCAGGAAGAGAATGCTGAATACAGGAAATATATACTGCTTGTTCTTCTCCTAATTGTTGGGCTGAGAATCATGCTTCTCTACGAGCCGTCTATGGTTGCATACAAGTAACAGGCAAAGCGAGAATACAAAAGACACGATAGAAAGTCGTACTTCTTCTCCGATGAGTTCGGCTTCAGATCCCGATCAAATACAGCCCGATCTACACGGGCTAGTTTCAACTGTTTGTTTTCAGATGGATTCGCACGACCCACTTCAGGATCCCCAACAGTTACCAACTCATTTTCAGAAAAGATTGGGGGGTTCGTCAACATGTGGGACCCGAGCTCCTGTACCAAAGAAGTCACTGAGATTCGACAGGAGCTGAAACCGTGCAAAAAAATCTCATTTATATGACCGACGACACGTTATCCTCGAAAAACATCAGATATAGATCAAATAACGTTTCAGACGGAGAGTACTCCAAAGCCCATCATCGCACTCGCATGGCATATCCAACCTGCTATGAAAATTATCGACATCGCAGACCTCGGCACAATCTTTACAAAGATTGTGTGAATCGTCAGATCAGTCTACTTGCTAGAAAGCAAGGTATTATCGCCTGTTAGTCAAGATTTACTACTTGTTGGAACAAGTGCAGAACCATAACAGCATTCTCGGTCGAAAAGGACTAGGCAACATTAAAGGTTACCTGAAAGCGCACAGGATGCTCAAAAGTACGCAGATCCACGACCAGGTGTAGGTTGGTCTTCCCCGTTCTTTTGCTTTCTTCCAGTTTAACATTTTCAATTTCCCTGAGAGCTAATCGATCCAGCCAGTCCATGCGCGGTAGCTGACCTCTCTCGAACTTGTTGAGAAGCTTCTCGAGTCTCTCCACTTCTCCGCGTTCATGCTTGGGTACCTACGTAATGTCAAGCAAAATCGCGAGGGTTTACAAATTTAAAACAAATCTATCACGGGCTTTGCATTCTGTCATGACGACAAACGCTGACAATTGAGAACATCAACTACTAACCTTCCCTGGGGTGCTGGTAGGTGACGAGCCATCCGCCTCACAGCCACGCCAAAGCCGTAGTTTCTGTTTGCCAGTCTTCAACCGGTCTTTCCTGTTGAAGAGAACCAATGTTGATCCTCCAACTGCGATTTCTATCCGTGGTTGAGATACATCCCAGACCTATGTCCATACAAAGGTTGCATGTTCAGCCCCTACATTCTTTAGCAAGACTGTCAAAAGTACACACTCAAAACAGCACAAGAAAAAATTCATCACTCCACCTCACCGTCAATGCGAGTTGTGCATCCTGAGTCAGATCTCTAATTTTGGCACTAACTGTAACCAGCTCATTCCAGCAGAATGGGTTCTCTACTGACGCCAATCTGCAAGCCAATATATATGCTAAAAAAGTTAGTCGAGCTTGGACGAAGAATACCGCAGGCGTTAGAAGAGAAAATAGAATTCAATGATGAGCACGCACTGTACTTAGGTTAGTGGTACGGAACGTGATCACTACATACTAACCAATCTTAAGGAAAAGCAAAAGCCTGGAAGGTTGGGAACGTGGAAATGTGAGGAGACATATGTGGTATACGAATGATGGAAACTTGGTGAAACGCTGGTAGAAACCTTTCAGTAAACAGTGTAAGATGGAGGGCTGTAGAAGACTTTGAGACATTCCCACAAACCATGAGGGCAAAAACAAGAGTAGGACGGCTTCCGGACAACTACTGGAACCCATCCGGGCTTTGGTTTGACACATTGACAGCATCAAAGGCGGTAGACTCTTTTAAAATAAAAACAGGAAAGTCAGTAGCAGTTAAGAAGTGCTTACTTCCGAAGTGATGATGAAAGAGTTACGATGAGAGTTTTGAATCAAAGCTTAAAGTAGAGCGCAGGGAAACTAGCTGCTTGGAAGGCAGAATGTGGGGTACAAACTTTGAGAAGATTTCTCTCCAAAAATTGAGGTTGAGAGCTTTGAGTTTTAGGAAAAAGAAGAACGAAAATTGTGGTGAGGGAAGTCAGCGGGGACGTGGTTTGAAAAGAGACTTATGAGAATCCGAGATGGCACAAAGGTAGATCAACACCGAATGTTACGTGGATGACACCACAATAGTGCAGACGATCAGATGTGCAGACTGAGTCATCTACTTATTTGGATGCACAGATGCAGATTATCAGGGAAGCTGAGCCTGAGGAAGAGATTCGTCGGTGTTCGAAGGTGGACCAAAGAAGACGTTATAGTATAAAACTTAATAAAAACGAAAATCTGAAAACAGCAAGAAAAGAAAACCCTGAGATTTTAAGTACGCGCGTTGAACTGGGCATGTCCTTAGTCTATGAAATTGGAAAAGTACACGAAAAGAGAAGAGCCATCATGCGTGTTTCTTTCGAGTATTAGGTGCACCATGAAACATCCCAATGTGGACGATATTAGGGCTGCAAAGCCTTAGTTCCCTTAGTAGTGACGAAAAAACTTGCCTCGTTCTTGTGGGTAATCCAAACTTTATCCCATCCAAGTACAGGACACATTCCACATAGAGCTCGGGTACCGGGCGAGAGTCATCGAGCACTGGCCATATCACAAACAACCGAATGTCAGGGTTGTAATATTCGAATTTCTGAAAATGTGAGCATAACAATACAAAAAGACTCGAATGCAGTCTTGTACCTGAGTTGGCAGAGTCAGCAGTCAATTCGCGATCCAAATCTTCAGCACAAAACGACAGGAAGGTAATTATTGTGGCAGATGTAAGCGCACTCGACACAGGGCACAAGAACGCAAAAACAGAGCTGTCCAAATTATGATTCCGAGCGACTCCTCGAGGTGTACCTGATGCAGAAGACGCAGGGTACTCGCCATCCAAACCATCGATGCGCACGGTCAACGGCAGGTTTATGTCACACGACAGGAAAAATCGATCATTCAACGACGGTTCGTTGCTGCCCATCGTCGTCGTCGACCAGGATCTCGAACGATCGGAGCTTCAGCAAAGACGGTCGCAGCAAATGCCCTGAGGCCCGGGCATAGCAGCTCGCTCACGTTCGACGCATCGAGCTCACCGAACCAAACCCACCGCTGCAGAAAATTGCCCGCTCCAAACGTCAAGCCTCAGCAACTCCTCCGCCCGAATGAAATCGAGCCACTTGCAGCTCACCTCCAGACGCATACCAACCGCTGCAGATCTTGATTAAGCCGTCCGCACGAGCCACACCTCGCGAGCCAAACCATCCATCCTTCATCCGCCCCGAGGCCGCCCCTCTCCCTCTGTCCCGACCACATTCCCCATCGCCGAGTGCAGCACTGCTCCTCCTCCTCCTTCCTCCTCCTTCCTCTTCCTCTTCCTCTCGTTTCTTCGTCGTCGCTGGCGTGCACCTCTCGTCCTCCTCGTGCACGCTTCGTCGGGAGCGAGCCTGTCACCGTCTCCGATCGATCGGGGAGAGCGTTGGCGCGTGGGAGAGCGTTGGAGCGAGCGAATATTCTTGCGGCGGCGAGAGCAACAAAAGGCCGTGAATTGAGATTCTGACTCTCTTCGGTATCCGTCTCGGATGACGAACCATTTTGTCGGAACACCAAATGCGGCCGAGGATCATGTTCCCGACCACACCCCGATGGATACTGCTTGCACCTCCTGGTCAAGGGCCTTACCCGGGTCTGTCTGCCCTGTCGTCTTCTGTTTGGGTATTGAGTTTGCTCCATGTTCCCTTTATAATTTCTTTCTCGGTTTAATATATCTCTTGATTTCTTCTAGCACGCTACGAATTGTCTTTGCTCTATGGCTCCCAAAACTCCTACAATTTCGACTACAGAATTACATACACATTGTATGTGAATACAGTACGTCTTAGCGTACCGCAATGTCCATGAAATGGACCTTATACGTTTATTCATTGTTTGATAACTCCGAAGTAACGACCGGCTAACGAAGTAACGAGCAGGGTTTGACAGGCGTGGTTGAAAACCACCTGGTCACCCCAGGAAGTCGCCATAAAACGTCGGGGCTACGCCCCGAGGTTTTGAGTTGAGCATTCTTGATTTCAGGGGTAACCCCGAGGTGTACAGAAAAAATTCCGGGGTATCCATCTTTTTTCATTGAACAATAATGATTGTTACTTGGGAACTTGTATGGATGGTTATTCTTTCCTACACAGGTAGATCTTTTGTGAAATAATTGACTTTAGTTGACCATTGACTAAATATGTGAAGACCACTTATGCATGTGTATTGATTGGAAATACTAGATCAACACATGGATTTTGTTAATAACTAGAAATAATTTCTAGCTTTAGCTTTAAGGGCTAAGTGCCATCTTGTCATACCTTTCGTTTATATCTTGAAAGAACATGGAATGGTTTATGAGATTTCCAACAGTAAAATCTTCCTCCAATCTTATTTCGAATAATCCGTAGATTGTGGTTAATACTCTGCCACATACAACTTTCTTGAGGTTGAAGAACCTCGACACTTTTTTCACCATGATGAGATCTTTGCTACTAATGGCTCCAAATCTTTTCATTATACAGCTTGGTCTCCTCTTGCTCTTATACTTTGCTCAACCAAAGACTTTGTTCTTCTGTTGTGGAAATTTAACTGAATTTGTATCTCCAAAAAAAACTTCAAAACTCCTTGCATCTGAAGTTGCTAGAGTAGCTGACATACATCAATAACGAATCAGATGTCCACTTGAAACTTTTACTTACAAAATCAAAAAGATCAAAAAAAAATTGAAAGAAAATTTCAGAAGACAAATAGAATTCATCTATGTACCAAAATCATGGATCACACGAAGAAGACAAGTATGAATAAAATAACGAACAAGAGAACGGAAGTCTATCATATGCTTAAAAAATTAGACGTATATGTAAAACACTTATAGAACAGAGCCGTGCCTCAACTCTGCTTAATCTTCAAACTTTTTTTAATCGTGGATTCATCCAAAAACTACCGTCACACCCATCCAGCTTCACAAATGATGACTTGTCACACGTTCAAGACAAAGAAAAGTTGTCATGGGCAGCTAGATCAGCACTTTGTATCACCATCTCCTACTTTTGTCTTGCTAAAGTCAATCTTTTTGCTGGTGTTTCTCCCAATTGATTTCAACTTTGCCACTCTTCAATCTCTACGAACAATAGCAAGCATGAGGAAAAAACATTCCCAAAACGTCCATCAAAACTTTGACAAAGTTTCACACTCTATCTTGTATTTGCACCTTGATCTATATTCCTTAACTACTAAATACATAAAACATATAGGTATTGTGATACAATACCTATAGGAATAGATACTGTGATAACGTTTACTCGTGATTTAAATTCATTGCTTGTAGATATCTACCGATGACAGTTTCTTCATCCAACTGAACATAGACAGAAGAAACCTAGATGTACCTGGCTGAGTACTGTGGAGTCCAATTTCTCCTCTGGTCCATTTACGCATACATCCAACAGATCATACCTGCTCAACATAGAAAAAACATCTAGTAAAAGAATACTTTGTTGTTTGATGACAATCTTACTGAATTGGAGCCATGCCAACTTCCTGACATGACAGCTTTAACAATATAACATTCAGTTAGTTTACTCACGGAGTACAAGGTGACGGTTTCTTCATTCGAGTCTATCGTGGACAGATGAAACATAAATTTAGTACTTTTAAAATTTAACTTCAACTTTTGCTCATTTCCAACAACTTGAGGAATTCCTCCCCTAACCCACCAGTAGTAAGTTTCCCAACGACAATTGCCTGCACTGGTTCCTCATCATTGTCAGATGACTCAACATCATAGAAAGCATGCTCATATGGGTCATTGTCCTCAACGTCTTGATTAAAATCTACGCTGTCATCATCATCTGTGTTTCCATCATATTCAAGGGCATTCAAAACTCAAAATAATGATGGCAACTTGAAGTTCTGAGATTTATAATAATACAACTCCTCTAGATGTAAATAATCAAAATTCTTCCAAGACTTGGCCAAAGTCTTGCTCCAAATGAGGGCATCAATAGTTTTGATACGCAGCATATTCCTAAGCTTGGTCTTGATACTATTGTGCAAAGAAAAACCTCGCTCGGCAATGGCACTGTTGAGGGTGATGACAAGACAGAGATACACAAATTTAAGCATGTAGCCAAACCCTAATCCATGCTCATCATGAATGTACCTCCAAACATGCAAGAACTCTTCATGCGTGTACTTGACCGCTAACTAGAGCAGGTGATTCATTCTCAAAAACTCCTTGTTGACCTGAGACTATACGGACAGGTCAATTGGAAACAATTGTTCTCTCCTTTTCCTGTTGCAAAAATGGCTCAACAAAAATTTTATAATTTGACACACCAAATTTATCAAGCTCTCACTGCTTTAGGCTTCTATAAAATGCTGGATCAAAGATTTTGAAGACACTAGGCACACTTCTATCAGTAAAGCGTTCAAAAAGTTTTGCCTCAATATCCTTCACCAGCACCTTGATGAACACATGAACGTGTTCCACACTAAAATCAGAGTGACCTATCAAAGGAATGATACATCTCTCATTGACCTGCCAAATTAGATTTTTTGTGGCCTTGTTCTCTTGAACAGATTTTAAGAACTATTTCAATATATTGCCACCAACCAGATACTTAGAGACAAAAATATCCTTGAGATCATACAAAAACATGTCAAGCCGGTCAAGAATTTTGTGAGGTAGGTGGTTGTACTTCTCAAAATACTTCCTAAATTCCTCTAAGGGCTTCAATACATCAGCAACCTTGTGCAATAGACAGATTAAAGTGATATCAATGAGACACTTATGTAAGTTTGCAGCTTTCTCCCAACTCTTCTTGCCTAACTTTCTCTTCAAGAATAAAATCAACGTTGCAAAATTGTTTGAGCTGTAATCACTCCAATTCGGTTTCTCAATCGGAAAGAATCAAAGTCAAGTTAATTATACAACCCAGCAAAGCAGGAGCTGAGATTAAGAGATGATGAAGACTAACGAGTAATTAAAGTTGATTAGTAGAGCTAATGAATGACGATGACGGAGTAATTGAAGTTGATTATTAGAGATAGAAATTTGTGCTCTATCTCTATCTAAAATTATTCCCACGTTTTACGAGCAATAAAATTTACGCGCTCTATGCGCGCAAATTTTCTTGTAATGCATCTACGCACTGAGCTTTGGAAAACCACCAAGTGATATTAAATAACGGAAATTGTAGTTTGTCACACCCCGCCTCCTCGCAAAGCATGTCCATTGTGTTTGATGAGATCCTAATTTGCTAAACAGATTATGCACCGCCTTAAATACAACATCCAACTCTTGAAGAGCTTCCATATCCTTGGCTTTGTACCCAAGGGCTAAGGGAGTCTTGTGCGCTGCACAATGGACACTCAAAAGATACCCCACTGTTCTTCGCAACTTTGCGCCCAATCCATTGTGACTATCAATCAGTGTGGAGTCACCATAAGTGTGGAGTGACCATCAGGGCAGATCGCCGTCATCTTTGGTATTTGAATGTCAAAGGCATATAACACCACGCATAGCATCTGGTACATACCTTCAGCTGATTTGTCGCCCAGACTAACGGCGCACATGAACTTTGAACGTGACACCCAGATGTCCCCATCCCAATACCTACTTAGTACGATTCACATCACAATATGATCAAGTATTAATCAATACTGCAAGGTGCATTTTAGCGGAGACAATTTTCTGCATAATTTCTCTTAATGAGAAGAGGTCAACTAAGAAATATCAAACAATGGTTCTCGTTGCCGATGTCATTGGAATTGTCGCGTAGGACAGAATAGAAAAGACTAGAAGCTACCTTGGACAACTGTGCTCCTAGAAGGCCTTTGTTGATCATTGAGAGGAATGATCAATAGTAACGCTTTTGGTTGTACTTCCGGTTAATGCATGGATGTCCCAGCCAAGCAAGGTACTTACATTGACATCCAGATGCAAACATATTGTTACGGTCTTCACAAGTCTTTTTTAGCTAGCAATCTTGAATGAAAGTATCATCCATATGAAGTAATGCATGCATTAGGAGATTTTGTCCATCCACCCTAAAAGCACAGCCCATTTTGAAATGGGCAAATTCTCTAAGA